CAATGGTTATTTTTAGAAAATATACATAAGGGAAATGCCTCTACTACCTGGTGATAATTACTGTACACATTTGGAGCACCGGTCCCTTCTTGCTGCTCTTCCTCCCTCCTTCCCTTCCATCATATTTTACTGGTTTTTGTCTTTAATGGCTCAAGCTAGATGTATATTATTTTTTAACTGGCTTGTCCATTCAACCTGTCATCATTTCACCACTTCATGTTCTACAGGATGACTGATTATAGCTACATAATATTTGAGTGGAAATATCCTTCATTTCAGTGGTCACTGTCATTGGGCACTGAGGTTGTCAACCTTACACCTACTGTTGGTTCACTTGCGAAGTGATCAGAGCTTCTGTCTAGATTCTGCCAGTTTGGTTCAAACCCACCTTCCTTCCTTGGCTTGGCGTGAGGATGAAATCATGAGATTCAAATGCATGAAAGGCCTTTCCAGGGTTTGTGACACAGAATAGGTGCTCAGTAGAGTTTTGTGGTTAGCACTCCTGGTCCCAGCACATTTGGTTTGACTCTTCATGAGACATGAATTTGAGTGTGTGTGTGTGTATGTGTGTGTATTTCAATACGGCCACACCCTCCTCCTAAGTTATGTTTCAGTTTACTGAGAAAGTTGTTTTTTCCCTTCCTTACCTATTCAGGGTGGGGACACATTTTCTAGCTAGGTTTAGGGAGTGGGCTTGGGGGCCATAGGGGAGCCTCAAGGGAGATGGCAGTGTTCTCGCCACTTGGGAGGGCTAACTCTCTCTTTTTGTGTAGGGGACCAAAAGCTAAAGCTGTGACTGATGTTAGGAGTGCCCCGGAGCCAAGAAAATGAAACTCAGCCCTGCAGGGAGCAGGCCATATGGGCATTTTTTACAGCTAGGGCCAAAGTCATGTATTCATGAGCTCTGTGCTGGTTGGGTGCGGGGCTGAGGACTTCAGGCACATAGCCTCGTTTATCACCCCAAGAATTCTGTACAGTCAGTATCCCCGCCTTTTACACCTAAGGAGTGTAAGGTTCAGAGCGGTTAGGTGACTTGCCCAAAGCCACACAGCTTTCAAAAGAGATTCTGACTATCCTCAAAGCCCACCTACCCTAAATTACTGCGCCCAGCAGCCTCCCAGCAGCACGGCACTTCTGCCTTGTGGGCAGGTGGAGTCAGAGAACCCAAGTTCTTGAGCTTCTTTAAAATCCTCTGCTGTATCCCTTCACCCACACGCCATGTGGATTTTAACTGTAGGTGTCAATTCAGCAACTCATGCAGGAGGGCTGGGTGACCGTAGGATGATTTTCATTTCTGTCCCTGGGAAGGGAGATGTCACAGCTCAAGGAGGGGCAGAGGATGAAACAGCCATAGCCCCCCGAGAATCCTGATGCTGTTAGCCCCAGTCTCCCTTCAGGATGGCTGAGGAGCCTGGCCCCGCTCTGTCCCTGAACCTCAGGACATCATGTGAAGGAGTGACAGTCAGGGCTCATGACATCAACAAGTGATGCCGGTCCTGGGCCTGGGCCATGCCCTGGGCTGGGCCGGAAGATGAAGCAAAACAGACTTGGCTTCCTGTCTGGTTAATGCGCTGAGCAATTAGGGACTCAAGAACGATGGGGAGGGAGGAAGGAAGGGAGGGGAGAAAGGGCAGTGAAAGAGTGGATGAGAAGTCACCAGTGCGGTGTTAGAGCATCGGGACCCAGGGGCCTGGAGGCAATGTGGCAGAGCTTGCTGGGCTCACATGAGGAGAACTGGCCTGGCGGGGGTGGGCAGACACAGCCTCACCAGGCTCTTTCTGGCAGAGCATTCACACACTGGCAGTGGGGGCCACTGTTTCTGGGGTTTCGTTTGTTCATTTTTTTTTTTTCATTTATCATTATCATCATCATCATTATTATTTTGCTGTTTTGTTGTCGTCCCCATCTCTGGTCCTCATTTCCACACCTGTGTGACCCACTGGCCAAGGCTACTCGCAGGCCGCAAAGGTGTGTGCAGCAAGCAGGCAAGCATGGGTGTAAAGAGCTGGGCCTTTGTGTCTTTGACTCTTGGTCAGCACTTTCCAGCTGTGACCATGGACACGTTGTCTGGGCTCTCAAGGCCTCAGTTTACCGAGCTGTAAAGCAGAGATGTCACACCAGCCTCACTGGGTGGTTGTTGTGAGGGCCACAAGCCAGGCCTGGGCAACTGACTAGATTCACTGGGTCACCAGCTTACATTTATTACATTTCAACTGTGTCAGGGCCTATGTTGGGCACGGGGGATTGAATGGGGGTGCTTCACAGGGCTTCCAATTGTCAGGGAGACAGATGTTGGTCAGGTAACCCCATGCTAAGTATAATAATAAATGGGGTATCCCCAAGGTGGGCACACGGGGCTGAGATCTGTGGGGTGCCTGGGAGTTAACAGGGAGAAGTAGGGTGCTGTGATGTGGGGAGCACAGCAGGGCATTTGTCCCAGGAACAGCAGGCGCCTGAGTGCAGGAGCCTGCTGAAGGGGAGGAGGGAGAAGTAATGAGGGAGGAGGGGGGAGAGGCCGGAGTAGCCAGCAGACCATGCAGCTTCACCTTCTTTCTCAGAGCACCTGGCAGCTGTCTGTGTCCTGAGCACAGTGGGACTGTGTTTGGAAACGATCCCTTTGCTGTGCTGGTGGGGAGGTGGGGGTGGAGTGGAAGGTCCTGGGACCTTTTCAGCAGAGGCTGCTGCAAGAGGCCACATGGGGAGGTGGCACAGAGGTAGCACAGACTGGGGTGAGAGGTAGGCAATTAAACTAGAAGAGATGGCTATGGGGTGCAAGGGAGCAGGAAGTGTCCAGGATCATGGTCCATTCTGGCTGGCACACTTGGGTGAAACATGGGCCAAACTAGGGAGGCCTGAGTTTGGAGGGTGTTGGTAGTGTGAACTCAGTTTTGGCCATACTGCTTTAGCTCAGTGGAAGTTGGCTGTGGTAGAGATGCCATGCCCTGGAGGGGTAGGGGGGCACACCGCACCAGCACAGGCTGGGAGGATGGGGGCAAGGAGATGGAGCAGAGTGCACTGAGGGCTGTCTTCCTAGGTGTTATGCAGCTGCCCCTAAGATGGGTTTGGGGTTATCCAGAGGCCATGGGGCGTGCCTGGTAGCGGCAGCCACCTGGCTTTGATGGAAGTGCTGGCTGGGTTTTAATGACCAGGGAGGGAGGATGAGTGAGTGACGGGGTGTCAGGGGAGCCCGCCCCACACACAATGGCCCACATGGTCACCAGAGCTGGCAGGGAAGGGACGTCATTAGGGCTTGGCGCTGCTCCACCCGGGGCTAGGGGCTGCGGGGAGACCCCCATGAGTAAAAGGCAGGGAAGGGGGTAGAGGGGTGGGGTAATGACTGGGATGGGGGCCCCTGCTTGTAGCTCTGGCTTTGCCAGATACTCACAAGCCGACCCTGGGAAGCCCCTCCGTGTATTGGTGTTCCAGGCCCTCATGCTGCTCTTTGCAGGGTTCACCTTATTGGATCTCCACAGCGGCTCCGAGTGGCTACTCATCTTGTCCCCATTGTACAGATGAAGAAACTGAGGCTCGGGGAGGTGAAGCCTCAAAGGTCACAGGGTTAGCAAGAGGTGGTGCTAGCCTTTGAACTTGAGTGTATATTGCCCCTAAGGTTCATTTTTCTTTACTACACTGGTGGTTCCCAAATTTGACTGTTTTCGGGATCACCAGGAGGGTTTTAGGGTCAAATAGAAGTCTGAGTTTTTCCTCTTCCCTTTTGTTTTCTGAATCAGAATCTCTGGACCCTGGGGAGGGCCAGAGTTGGGGGTCATACACCTGGTGACTGGGCCCTGTGCTGCCCTCTGATGGTAACCCCCACCCCTTACTCCCCACACCTCTACCCCACCCCTGCTCTCCCACTTGGCTCACTCTGCTCTTGCATATGGAACTTTGGTTTTAGGGAAAATCCTGCTGGCTCCCTCCCTGCCCTTTACACAAGCCCTGCCAGAATATTCTGTTGCCAGCCTGTCTTCCCCTTTACTTGCTTCTGATTTCTTGTGCAATAGATATTTTCATGGAGACCTTCCTAACCACCCCCAAACCCTCCTCCCCAACCCATTACTCTGACCTGTGGATTCTTTACCAGGGCCACACATCCAGCTACCTGGCATACTTTAAATATTGCTGGTGCCCAGAGACTGTTTCTGCTGGTTTGGGGTGAGCCCTGGGCATCAGCATTACCAAAAGCAGCCTAGGGTAAGGTCATCTCTCCACCCCAGCCTTCTCCATCTTGTTCACAACTCTCCTTGTTTGCTCACTGTGTCTCTAGTAGTGTGCAGTAGGTCCTTGGCCTGTCATGCCTTGCATTATCCCCAGCTCATAGTGGGTTCCCAGTAAGTGTCTGTCAAATGAATGAACAAGATGAGGGAGGCTGGGAAGAGGCAGCTTGGCCACTGAAGAACTCTGGGAACAACAGGGGCCATTCACCTGGTCAGACAATTTCCCATCGCCCTGCTGCCTAGAGAATCCCATGTTGGCTGCAGACTCAGCTTGAGGCGAGATCACAGTGGATGGAACAGCAAGAATCCTTGCAGCCTCCCTCAGCTGTTGGGTCACATATTGGCAGACAGAACAGAGAATCAGAGCTGACAGGGCTCCCAGCAAGCTTCTAGCCAGTGCCCATCATTCCCCATCCTACAGATGGGCAGTGAGGCCTAGTAAGGGACGGAGCCTAGGCTAAGGTCATGGCTTAGAGTTTAGAGACCGCCCCCAGAGGGTGGAGGCTGCTGAAGGCCTCCTTCCAGGCTCAACATACTGTGTGACCTTGGTTGAGCCTCTGACCTTCACTGGACTCCATTCTTCCCAATCTATGCTTTGTCTGAGATGGTCCAGTCCCTACGTGGGGAGTGTCTGAGCCCTTTCCTGGGCAGTGCAGGCCTGCAGAGGGCCTGCAAGGGGTTAAGCTCCTCCTGCTCACTCGGCTCTGTGGGTAGACATACCCCCTCCTTTCAACAAAACACTTGTAGGAAATCAGGCTGGGCGCTTCCTGCCTAGGCTAGGCCGCCTCAGCCACAGCGGGGCGGGGAGAGGTGGGGAGAGATGCTTGTCTGTGAGCAGCGACTCGGGCTGGCAGAGCAGCCTGGAGGCGGGCCAGGGCGCCATGGAGGCAGGGGGCTCCCCAGGTTTGGAACAAAGACCTCACACGCAGGCCCCCTGATCAGGCCAGCCGGATGGCGGTGGAGCTGGAGAGAGGTAAGGGAGCAAGGCGGGTGGGGGAGGCCGGCCGCCCTCTGGCCAGTCACAGCCTCCCTGGGATAGCACTGAGCGACTGGACCAGCCCAGCCAGGAAGTTGCAGCTGCGCTTACTCCTCTCAGCTTCGGAGAGCCCGGCCAGGGCACGGGCGGGTTATAGGGAGATTTTTTCCAAACTCAGATTCCAGTCCCAGCTCTGATTCTAATCTCTGTGAACTTGGACAAGTGTGGGCCCCTCCTTGTTCCCGGGTGTCCGCATCTGCCAGACAGATTTAATCCCACAGGCTGAAAGGGGCCTCAGAGATAACAAGATGAGGTGCAGACCTGGAGGCAGGAGGGGGTCCCTGCTAGGGTGACCCTTCTGCCTCCGAAGGCACAGAGGGGAGCCAGGGGCATCTGGCAGACCCAGCTCAGCATTCAGGTGGTGGGGCGAGTCCAGAGCCACTGGGGTATCTTTCCTTTCTCCTCGGGCCCCTAATGCTGGGGCAGGAAGGAGTACATCTGGGGTGGGGAGTGGCTTGTGCTTCCTTGTGAGACTAGTTTTGTTATAGAGCAACCCCGATATTAAACGGGTTCCTGGCTGTGGGTCCTCACCCGCGCGCTTTAAAGGGACTTATGAATACTCTACTACAGACACACGCAAAAGGGTTAATAAAAGGTTTATTTACAAGAGAAAAAGAAATAAGGAAAATGTACAACTCAGGGAGAAAATAGGGAAATAAAGTCTTTAATGCGTCCTACCCGATCCGACGACCTGGAAACCCAAAGTCACTCTCAGAGCTGGCCGGACGCTACGAGCTGGCCGAGAGCCAAAATGGAGAGCCCCCCAAAGCCCACGTGTCTGCCTTTTATATCCACCTGGCTGCTTAACCCCACCCTCAGGTCCCAGCCACCTTCCCTTTGGTGGTGATGGGATTTGGAGTTCCCAGTGTCTTTGGCTTTGGCCTGGGGTGGGGGTGGAGTCCACAAAGCCTATATGGAATTTGCTTTGGGACATCCTTTTCCCCCTAACAGTTTCTGCACAACCAGGGGAACCGTTCCCTTCAGAACATCAGGTCTGTGCCCTGTCTGCTGGTCAGGGCGGGGGGGCCTGGTTTAGAACTGAGTTCAAGAACAGCCCAGAACCTCTATCTTGTTTTAAAACTCCCACAGGCTTCACAAATCAATCTACTTGGTTTCAGAGTCCATGTACCCAGGGTTTAAATTCCTGGGCCTCCTTTCCTGCCTGCAAGGTCTTGGGAGAGCTGACCAGCTCTCTCTGACTCATTCCAAATCTGGGCAGTGTTAGGGTCAGGTTGGGAGCAGAGGGACATCCTGGATAGTCCTGGATGGAAAGGGACTTCAGAACATACGTGGAGGCAGAGGTGGGCTGCATGGTTGCAGCTGGCAGAGGGCGACCTGGGAGACTGAGCACAAAGAGAGGAGCCCCCAGTTTCAGAGCTGCTGAGTGGGCAGAGAAATCCCCTGGGAGTGGCTGACCAGCTCAGGAACTGAGGGAAGAGACAAGAATCTTGTAGCCTCTTGTTTTGTAGCCTCTTGTCCCAGAGAGAACTGGGACAAGGGGCTGGAGCTAGAGGGCGATGTATAAGAGAAGGCTTGAGTAGTTGGTAGTTCCTCATGGGGTCAGTTTCCCCAGGGCTGAGTCTGACCACTAAGCCCATGTGGGGACTCAGTGCGACCCTGGCTCCCCTGACTGAGACCTCAGCATCCATGCTGGGAACATCATGTATCCCAGCCTTGCTGCTCTAATGGAATCTGACGTGGGCTGTCATTGAAGGACCCCAGCCCATAGCTCTCCATCAAGTTCTGTTCATATTTTCAGAACTCTGTGCCTTTGCCTATGCTGTTCCCTCAGCGTGGAATGCCATTCTCCTCCCCATACACTCCATCCTTAAGCCCAGCTTAATGCTTCCTTCTACAGCAAAATCCTTCAATATTGTGTCTCCCCACTTGAATTTCGCGACATCTTTACTCATTTCTTGTGTCTTGTATAGTGTGTTGCACAGAGCGGGAAACCACAGGTTTTTGAAAAGTTAATTTGCACCCACTAGACACTCTATGAAATAAACCCTCACTTAATATCGTCGATAGGTTCTTCGAAACCGTCATCTGTACCATCTACCTCCCTGAATCTCTTTGTCTGGGGTTTTCCTTTTTTCATCAACTTTGGAACAAAACATTACTTGAGGATCTGCTGCATATATATCTTTGTTCCTCTGAAATGGAATCTTGGTTCCGAAGCTGTTGTCCTCAGAAGCCAGCCAGGAACCTCAAAGTTCATTTAGACCATCCCCTACTTCCCACATCATCCAAAAAGGGCCCTACCCTGTAGTCTTTTCTCTATTTTACAGTAAGAACTTAAGCCCAGTGGTTCACTGTGACAAGCAACAGCATCAAGTCCAGAACCTGGTCTCTGGACACCCAACCTGCTTCTCTTTCATGGCAGCCCTGAGAGCGCGTGTCCTTGGCCCAGCTGAGCTTGGCATATGTTTGGCACACATGCCTGTTTGTTGACTGGCTGACTGGCCCCGGGCTCCCTGGCACTGAGGGCTTAGCTTTGTGGAAGACAGAGCCTTGCTCAAGAAAGGCTCCCAGGTTCGGGGGCCTGGGGAGCAGGCACAGAACTGCAGTCTGTGACCGCAGCTGTCTCTAAATTGCAGCTCCCCTGGTCACAGTAAGATTTCTGTGACGCCTGACTCATTTCAGGAGACAGAACGTTCCTCTTTGTGCACCCAGAGGCCTCTGTGATTGGGCCCGCTGCTCTGATGCACAGCCAGAAAAAACCCTTTAAAAAGTCACAAAACCACACACCTCCCCCATCCCCATCCTTGGTGGAGGTTTAGAAAGAGCAGAGCAACAACTTTTAGCACAAACCACACCTGCCATGTTAGCAGGCATGAGAAGGCCTAGGCAACATTAAAGTGCTGGTTTAAAATGCAGGCTCCTAGGCCCTGTCCCAGGGCCGCTGAGTCTGGATCTTGGGTCAACCTAGGAATCTGCATTCTTAAGAGGATTCACTGGAGCTCTCCAGTTTAAGACCCACTGGCAGGGATTTCTAACAGGAATGATGGTCCCCCAAAGGGTAAAGGAAAGAAGGACTAGAGCTTCTCTTTTAAATATTTTTATCATAACTTTTAAGGAACTCATTTTGGATTTTTTTCTATTATGTAATGGATTAGCATGAAGATGCACATGTACAAACATAAAAAATATATATTTTGGGTGGTTGTACAAATGTATTTTTTTGGTGAGACTAGTAATAAAAAAATTGGAGACCACTAGACCAAACCTAATGGTTTTTTTAAAACCTGCTGTCTCTCACCAGCTGGGTGATCTTGAGCAAGTCACTGTTCCATGCTGAGCTCAGTTTTCTAATTAGAAAAAGGTTTTCTACTTATCTGTTTGGAACGAGGGAGAACATGTAGGGAAAGCTTCTAGCTCAGGCTGCAGAGTGGGTACAGGAGCTGGTGGGAATTCTGGTGCAGCTCAGAGCTATCTGGAAGAATTCTGGGGAGAGCCAGGAAGATTAATGGGGGGGGGGAGAAAATGGAGGTCCTGGAGCCCCCAGCCGAGGAGCAGGGCTTGCAGCCAGAGCGGGGAGAATGTTATTCCCTGTCCTTTGAGAAGTCAGCCTTTGAGAAGTCGGCCTTTCCTGGACCACGCCGTTCCCTGGGGAACTTTCTGTCCAGAAATAGCTGCCTGCTGACTTTTCTCAACCGTGCAAATCAAGGTTCTGACCAAGACCCAAGCGCTCACGAGGCTGCAGGGACAAACACAGACATGTCTGTCCCGGGAGGGACAGAGTTCTGCTCTGTGATCTCCACAGTGAGGAGGGAAGATCCTCAGCCAGGCTGCAAGGTGACTTTTTACCTCAGTGTTGTCCTGACTTCTGTGTGGCTTTGACCAAGGCCCCTTCCATCCCTGGACCTCACTTTTCCCACCTGTAGAGCAAGGTCTTTGTGCTCCTGGAGGTCTCCTAGGGCAGAACCATGCTGTGGCTTTCAGCCTGGTGCTTGGCACTGAGGAGGCACTTAGGGGTGCTGGCTATTGCAGGAGGGTGGGAAAGGAGGGAAGGCTAGAAGGCAGGCAGGGAGGAGCCTTTTTCCAGCATCCTTCCCCTGCCACAGGGCTCTCTGCAGCCCACCTCCTCTCTCCTGGCTCACGCTCCCTCAGCAGCCAGAGAGAGCTTCTAACCACACCTCTTAGTGCTCTCCTGTGCCTGGGATACTCCTTGAATGCCTGAACAGGACCCAAGAGCCCCCCTGGGTCTGGCCACCGCCATCCTTACCCATACTCTGGTGTGAAAGTTCCCAGCCCCTCTCCCCAGTACCACAGCCATTGGGAGGCCACCTCTGTGTCACCTCCCGCCCCCCTCACCAGGCTGTATACCTGCCCAGAGTATTTTTCTTCATTTTTTTTTTCTTTTTTTTGGAGATGCATTTCATAGAACATAAGATTAACCTTTTAAAGCGAACAATTCAATGGTATTTAGGAGATTCATAATCCTGTGCAGCGATGCAGCGACCAGCTCTGTCTTGTTCCAACACATTTTTATCACCCCAAAAGGAAACCTGTGCCCATTAAGCAGTCCCTCCCTGCCCCCTGCTCCAGCTCTCATTGCCCACCCATCTGCTTTCTCTCTCTCTGGATTTCTCTGTTATTTCCTATCAATGGGATCTTGCTGTTTGGGACTTTGGGGTCTTTCACTTAGCATGGTGGTCGTGAGGGTCCCCCTCGTCACAGTACGCGCCAGCCCATCATTCCTTTTCTCGGCTGAAAATGACTCCATTGTGGGCGTCCACCACAAACTCCTTATCCATTCACCGCTGGTGCCTCTGGGTCATCTCCACTTTTGGCCATTGTGAGTGTGCAGCTATGAATGTGTGTGTACATGTATTTGAGTCCCTGTTTCCAGTTCTTCTGGATACTGAAATGCTCCTTTCACCTCCCCCCACTCCCATGGGGGCTGGCCAGTGCCTGAGGAGACCATTCAGCAGGTAGTAACTGTGCCATTTAGATCACCCACTCACATGAGGGTGATCAGGGAAGGGTCCCAGAGGACGTGGTTTCTACAGGGGACCTTCGCTCACGTCTGAGGTCTGCACTGCAACCCTTGGGCCTGTGCTTTCCCATCACTTCTCACCTTGGTTTGCAGGTGCTGGTGTTTGCTTCCTCTTGGGCTCTCTGTTCTCACAGGAGCAGGGCCTGTGCCCTGGAGCCCACAAGCAGAGCCTGGCACATGGTAGCCAACACTAGCTCCCTCGAACACTTGCCGGTGTGCTGGCTGCTGGGCTCTTTCCCTCGTACCTCAGGTAATTTTCCAAAACTCTTTGAGAGAGAGGGGAATTATCTATTCTACCGAAGATAATAGACAGTGACTTGCCCAAAGTCACACAACTTCCACCGAGTGGAGCCCAGAGCTATACCAGGGCTGTCTGAATCCACAGTTTCTGCTGGTAACTTATTGTTCTGAAGAAAAGAGGGTCATGAGAATTGATATTGTCCCTTGATTGTGCCCCTCATAGGCCACAGGTAGGATGGCGGGAGCTGAGAGGAACCAGCGGTGACTCTGGTGCTCACAGTGGCCAGTGCGTCTTTCTCCTGAAGATGAAGTGGCCCAGGTGAAGTGCAGGCCAGGCCCGATGGCCAGCTCGGGGACAGAAGTCCACTGGGCCGAGCCAGGCCTGGGGAAGGCGCCCCGGCGGCGCTGGGCCTGGGTGGACGAGGACAAGGATCCCAGTGGCTGTGGCACAAGCAGCTGGGGAGAAGAAAGGCCCTTTCCCAACACCAGCAGCCCTGAGCTCCTGGAGGATTTTCGCCGGGCCCAGCAGCACCTGCAGTCACTGGAGTGGAACCAGCACCCTCAGCCTGAGGGGCACCAGGATTCCGAGTCTGAGTCTACAGGAGAGGGTGAGACTACCACCCAGCACCCCCAAACAGCTCCTGGTGGGAGGTGGAAAGTGGGAGGGAAATTTAGAAATTTTTTAAATTAAAATCTCAATGAAGTTCATAACTTAAAATTTTCAAAGATTTAAATGAAATACTGCTCATGACAGAAAATTTAAGCAAAAAGAGGAAAAATTTAAAACAGTTTTCTAGATATCTGCACACACACACACACACACAAATAGAACACAAATGTGCAACAGGATTCTGCAGACTGTATTGTAACCTTTTTTGGTAGCTTCATAGACACAAGCATAATGTAACTTAATAGACACACTTCCCCAGCTTGTCAAACAGCCTTTAAGTCCTTCGTGATGCCTGAAGAGAATTCCATGGAGTGGATAGTCTAATTTGTTGGGCTAGTCTCTTACTGTGGGGCATTTAGGTAACTTCTAGTTTTTGCTATTATAAATAATACAGAGACGGACGCCACTGGTACGTCTCCACACACTTGATTTATTATTATCCTTGGTAATTTAAATGGAGGGGCCCATTTCCTCTTAATCCCATTGACAGAGGGATTGGTGGCATCCCTGGTGTTCTACAGTAACAGGCTCCCTTTGCATAGAGACCAATTTAGACAAAAGTCCCTCTCTCTGAACCTTGGTTTCCCCCTCTCTGAGATGAGAGTGATAATTCCATTGAGAAGACAGGAATGAAATGCTACTGTCTTAGGATTCTGTGACTCAGGCAAGTGCCTGAGGAGACCATTCAGCAGGTAGTAACTGTGCCATGACCCCAAGGTCCTCAGGCCAGATCCATTTAAGGCAAGGTTCATCCACAGCTACCCTTCCAGGAGCCATTTCTAAGGTCTCCTCCAGGGAGTGGTGACGGGGAGGCACTGGGATGAAAGGACAGAGGCATCACTTCCTGAGGTCTCATGGTAACCCCACCTGTGATGCAACAGCCACTAGCTACCATGTCCTGGGTCCTTACTGTGTGCCTGGCACAGCCTGGGCAGGGAGCTGCTGTGTCTCCTTTCCACCTCACCACCCTCTGCCTGTTGGGAGAGGCAGCTTCCAGTGTGAGTAAGCACTGCTAGAGGGGCAGCTGGCAGCCCATGGCCCCAGAGAGGAGCTGGGGTCCCTAGCTTCAAAGCCCACTCTCTTTCCCCCATGTAGCATTACCCCCAGTTGTAAGGACAAACTCCCCTGCATGGTTGGGACCTGGGTTCTAGATCCAGAACTGCTGTGAACCCCTGAGTGATCTTAGATGTAGAGGTGCTGAGGCAGGGAGCAGATAGGGGTTATGATAAAGGTGCATCTGTCCAGAGCAGAGAGTTTGTGCTTGGCACTACTTAGACTGTGTCTCATCAAACTTTGGATCTACGCCAAAGTCTAGGACAGAGTAGGTGCTCAATAAACATTGACTATATAGATGGATGGATGAAGGGGTGAATGGGTAATGGGTGGGTGTGTGAATGATGGGTAAATAAGTGATGGACGGGTAAGTGGGTGTTTAGATAGGTGGGTAGATGGGTGAGTGGGAGATGAACAGGTAAGGATGGGTGCATAGGTAGATGGCTAGATGGATGAGTGGGTGATAGATGGGTGAGTGGGTGGGTGAATAGCAAGATAGATGGATGGATGGATGGATGGGTGATGGATAGATGAGTGGGTGGGTAGATGGGTCTGAATATATGGACGATTGAAAAGAGTTTGATCAATGGGTGAGTAGATGATGGATGGATGAGTATATAGATGAATAAATAGATGAATGGGTGCATGTTTCTTGAACCCCAACTGTGTAATAATAATAGCAACTATTCATTTCCTAGGAATTTTGCAAACCTTGTCTTCCCTTGCTCCCTTCCCTTTTTTATTTTTTCCCAATTCAGTCAAATATTATTGAGCACCCACTTTGCAAATACAATAGTGAACAAAAACAGAGGGTGTGCTAGCCCTCATGGAATTTGCAGCACAGTAGGGGAGAAAAATATGAATGCAACAAACATTCATGGAATAAATGGAGAACTGTAGCTGTGATAAGTATGACAAAGTCAAAGTATCCAGCCCTAAGAGAGCTTATAAAGGGAAAATTTGACTCAATTAGGGAGATCTGGGAAGACTTCCTTGATGAAGTCAGGGTCTGGCTAATGCCTGGAGGGCAAATAGGAGGAAGTAGACAAAGTGAGGGAGATAGGATCCTGACAGAGAGATCAGCATGTGGAAAAGTCCTGTGGTTGGAGAAAAATGTGGCTCAGTTAGACTAGAGAAAAACTGCAGGAGAGAGATGAATCAGGAGAGTTAATAGGGGGCGGAGGTAGAGAGAACCTTCAGACTACATCAAAGGTTCAGCTGTCTTAGAAATAATATAGGAAGATACTGATGAATTTTCAGATGAGGGTGAACATTGAGTTGATGATTAAGTGGCTACTGCAGTAATCCAAACAGAAGAGGAGGTGGGCTTGGGTAAAGGTGATGCTGGACTTTAGAGGAGCAAGTGAGTTTGAGAGCTCTTACAAGAGGCAATCATGACAGCATTTGGTGACTGATCGAATCATGGGGTTTAGGGAGAGAAGGGGCAAGGATGCCTCCCAGGTTTTTGCTTTATGAGACTGGACGGAACAATATTGCTATTTGCTGAAATAGGACAACTGGGTTTGAGGTTTGAATTTTGAAAACAGGGCCTCCGTGGTGGTGCAGAAGTTAAAGTCTCAGCGCTATCAAGCTATCAGCAGCTACTGCAGCACAAGTATGGTCCCCAGTGAGGGAGCTAACCCACATGGCACAGCAGACTCTGTCTTTTCCGCTGCTCCCCTCAGCAGTGTATTTCAGTAGATCTGCCTGTTCTGCTCTCCACTCTGTGTCTGGTGAATCCTTTCACCCCCCGCAAAACCTCTGACCTACACCCCATTTTTTGTTTTTAAAGATTTATTTATTTTTATTTATACAAGCACTGGGTACAGTCAGAAACGCAGGAGGGTGAGAGAATTTACCAGAGCCGGAGCGGGAAGCAGAACAGGCAAACTGATGAAATACACTGCTGAGGGGAGCAGCGGGCAGCAGGAGAGTCTGCGTGCCATGAGTCAAATATTATTGTTAATAATATCCCCGGTGACCGGGGATTGAACCGGCGCTGCAGAGGCTGTGGGCAGCTTCGCAACCCAGCGCTCAACCGCTGCGCCACCAGGGAGGTCCTACCCCCCAGTTTTTGTATGCATACACAGAAATAAAATCTTTAAAAAAAAAAAAAACCTTTGAAAACAACTGGGAGGTGTTGGCCAAATTGGGGGGCGGGGCGGGGTTACTGGGATTCCTGTTACCACCACATGATGAGGGAATGAAAGTCCAGGAGGTACAATGACTTGGGTAATGTTACAAAGTAAGCCCAGGCCTGGTCTCTGCTAAACTATGACTGTCTTCCCAGAGTTCGAACCAGAGGATGTGGACAGCCCAGGAAGTTCCTGCTCGCCTCCCCACTGGCTCCCTCAGCAGGATCCTCAACCAGACATGACTGAAGACGAGCCAGTTGAGACCCTCAGAGATAATGAGACTGAAGAAACTGGAGGTAGCCCCCCCAGGTTGGGGTATGAGACTTACCTTGGCTCGGGGGACAGTGAAAACGGCAGCCCCAGGACCGTGGGATGGGGTCAGACCACAGACCGAGTGGCCTCTGGCAAACAAGCCAATGGAGACAAACTTTCAGAACATTCTGAGGTCAACCCAACTGTTGACCTCAGTTTTGCAAGGTCCTGGAGCAGTGGAACTGTGAGCCTCGACAACCCTTGCGACAGCCTTGGTTCTACCTGGGAAGAAGAGACCGATGTCCCCCAGCCTGCTGCTCTGGCAGAAACTTTACCACCGAGTCCCAGTCACCACCTCCTAAACCTAGATGACAGAAATGGAGGAAGCGTTACTCTGGCAACTGCCACGGAATTCCAGGACTCCTCAGCATCCCCAACCCAGAGTCCCGAGAGTCCTGCAGATATATGGAGGAGAGAAACTACCAGCCTCTCCTGCCCTCAGTCTGGGGACCAAGCCTGGAAGCGGACACGGATATCACCTAAGCCTCTCCCTTCCCGATTCACCGGCTCCATCAGCCCTCAGAATCATCCTCGACCCAGACAAATTCGTCAGGGCAGGCTGCCACCCAGGCAGGGAACCACTCTGGCTAGCCACTCAGCTTCTGATGTCCCCAAGTATGGCCGGGGGCGGCTGAACCACCCACTCCCTGATTTATCCAAGGTGGGACCCCGGGTGAGGTTCCCCAAAGATGAGAGCTACCGACCCCCCAAGGCCAGGGGCCACAGCAGGCCTCAAGGCCCCACCAAGCCACTAATCTTCAAATCGCCCGCTGAGATTGTGCGGGAGGTACTCTTGAGCAGCGGGGAAACCTGCCTGGGAAAAGACCCACCTCCTGCCCACCCTGTCACCAAGGTACCCCAGGAATTCCAGACGCCTGAACAAGCCACCAGACTGGTCCTTCAGCTCCAGGTGAATGTGACTCATTGCTATAGGCAGCGCATCAAGGCACCTGTTGGCCTAGGTTGGAGGCCACAGTGGTTGGGGGGCCCTAGGGCTGAGCCAGGAGCCCCCTGCTGGTGGAGGCGGGTAGTACCCCCAGCGGTTAAAATAATCCCAAACCCTTTGCTCAAAAGGAATAGTGATTGCCCTCAAGCTGCAACGATAGTCCATGTCTGTTTAACTCCTTCTAGAAAAAAAATCCAGAACGTATTCAAGAGAGAATATAATGTGATGAACCCACCCCTCACCGCATACCCACCACCTGACTTCCACCACCCATCCCCACCACCCAGCCCCTTTTTATCTATGGCCTTTTTATCTACCCCTTTTTATCTACCCCTTTCCCACTCATCCTGCTGGAATATTTTGAATCAAATTTCAGGCACGTAAATCATTTACCCCAAAATATTCTAGTGTTGGTGGAATAAGGAGTCTGTCTTAACGTGACCACAATCGCGTCATCGTCCTCAAAAGTGGACACCAGCGCCTTACTATTATCCCCTATCCGGTCCGTGCTCAGATCTCCCATGCGCCTCATAAATGGCCTGTTTGTTTCAGTTTTTTGAAGCAGGATCCAAACGTGGCTTCTATCTTGCATTCAGTCCATGTGCCTTTCAAGTTTCTCCCACTTTTTTTTTCTTTTTCAAATCTCTTTCATCCTTGTCATTTATTTATTTGCAGAGGAAACCAGTTCCATGCTGCAGAGTTTCCCATATTCTGAACTCTGCTGCTATACCCCTGGCATCTTCATGTCTTCCTTCCTGTCCTGCATGGGGCAGGTTTAGAGTGAGAGGCTTTTTTGCATTGTAACCATCTGTTTATTTCCCCTCCAGATGATGAGCTAATGGGGGGTTGGGGGGTTGGCAAGGGCACATCACTGGTGGTTCCTTCACTGGTGGTGCCCCTGGTTTCCCATGGGCAACATGAGGGGTCACATGTGGCCATCTCCCTCCAGCCAGCCCTTTATGGGGGTAACAAAAGGCCAGTATCCTAATGCTCTCATTTTTTCTGCATTTATTTGCTGAAAATCTTCTATAAAGAAAACCTCTCCTCATCACCTACTTGATTACCAAGGTCTTGTTCAAGTGGGTGAGACGGGAGAAATGCTTGCTTCTCTCCTAATGACCAGTTTTCAGAGCAATGTCTTCGCTCCCTAGCATCCTTCAAAGATGACTAAGGACATTTACTTTTGCTTGTCCCCTATAATGACTTGTTTTTATGAAGCTCTTCAGTTTTACTTAAGGCAGGTAGGAATTTCACCAGATACATCTGTGATTTTCAAGCCTTCTAGTTTTCTACCAAGAGACCCTTAGGTTGTTCATTCAAGCTGCTGTTAAAAAATGCTTACAGGGGCCTCCCCTGGTGGCACAGGCAGTTGAGTTGTGCTGTGAAGCTGTCCGCAGCCTCTGCAGCGCTGGTTCGATCCCGGCCAGTCGGCCGGCGAGAATCCCACATGGTGCAGCAGACCTCTCCTGTCTCTCCCACTGCTCCCCTCAGCAGTGTATTTCATCAGTCTGCCTGTTCTGTTCCCTGCTCTGTCTCTGGTGAATCCTCTCACCCTCCCATGCATCTGGCCTGTACCCCGTTCTTGTATAAATAAATCTTTAAAAAAAATGCTTATAGAACATTTTGCACTGGGTATAGAGCAGTGGGAGATGCCAGCAGTGGGACGGAGTCCAGACAATAGTTGCGGTCCTGCACGGTGGAAGTTGTGCATCAAGGTCAGCTGACCCAGGGTCCCCAGATGGCAGGAGGTGGTAGAGGAGTTGTCCTCTGACACCCCAGAATTTGGCCATGGGGGTCTGCACTGCAGGTGATCATGGAGGGGTCTGCTTCCTTTAGCTCTTAATCTGAGGAGCCCAGAAGACCCCTTTGGGGAATGGGCTCCCTGCAAGCGTTCTCCCAGCAAGGAGCTTGGCCTTGTGACTGTGTTGCTTTCCCTCTCTGCAGGAGGATTACCACAAGCTCCTCACCAAGTATGCTGAGGCTGAGAACACCATCGACCAGCTGCGCCTTGGGGCCAAGGTACCCGGGGCCGGGGGAGGAGGGGGGGGAGTGGGCAGTGTAAAAGTACGGGACTGGGATCCCAGAAACACATCCCAAAGTCTTGGGGCCACTGCCTCCTATGGATCTGGGGTTTTTGTTCAACCACAGGGTCCCTGTGTGACCTTGGGTAATGACCTTGACTCTCTGGGCTCAGTCTCCATACCATTGATGAAATTCGATGTCCTTGAATCCTAGAGTCCAGGGTGCCCAGGAATTTTACCAGAACCTTCCTCCTTCGAGATGAGCCACATGTGGGGTTAGACCCAAATAGTTCAACTGCTGACTCCATTATTCCCCAGTTGTGTGACTTTAAGGCAGTCCCTTGAGCTCTCTGAGCCTGCAGGGAGTAGCACAGCCTTTCTGCTCAGCCCCTTCTCCTTCCCCACCACCTTCCCCACATGCTCTTCTTTACTGCTGACTGAAGACTGAGTGTGTAGCAGGGGTAGTGTGAGGGGGGTCACCCATCTACCCCTACCAGGCCTGGCCCCCACTCTGACTTGGGAGGAGGCCATAAATTGTATGCTTGGGGCCTTCCCCTTTTCTGAGGTGAGGCAGGAAGTGGGACCTGTTGCAGCCACTGTGACTTCCTGCTTCGCCTACCCCCTCTTGCACCATCAAGCAGCACTGGAGGAGGGGTAGGGGCTGAGCTGCAGGGGCATGCACCTCCCTTTCCTTCAGCCTCCTCTCAGGGACCTGCTCCAGCTATCTTGAGGTGCTTCCACTTCCCTAGGTGCAGCCATACTGAGAAAATGTAGGGACCCCGTTCTCGGAGTTCTCCTGTGTGAGAGATGGGCGGGTGTGTGGAGGTGTGGGGCTGGCGCCCCAGAAATGACACATCCCAGCTTCAGTTGGCGCCACTGAAGACCTGGGGTTTTTGTTCAACCACAAGGTCCTTCCGTGACCTTGGGTAATGACCTTGACTCTCTGGACTCAGCCTTTGAGCTGATGGTGTCCTGTGTCCCCATACCTGCTTCTGACGCAGATAGTCCCTTCCAGCCTGGCCTCCTTGAGCACGAATGTAAAAGGGGGTTAATCTACCCTTCTTCCTGGAAACCTCTGACCCTACCGATGTCTGATGCCTTCCAGCTTCCATTACTGCTGAGCCTGAGTCAGGGGCAGAAGGGTCTGGGGGAGTTGGGAGACAGTGCCTGAGGAAGCAGCAGTGCTGAGCAGGAAGCCTCTAGGTCTCCCAAGTCTTTGGGGTGTGGTTTCTCCAGCGCCCTGGTTAGAGAGAGACATGAGGAGACAATGGTGGAGACTCAGTAGAGGGGCTTGGTGAGACAACCTCTGGAGAAACTACATCCTCATGGCTGCCGACTCCTGCTAGGTTTGAGAAGAAAGGAGCTGGTTGCAGGTCCAGGCCCCCAGTTTCCCTCTCTTATAGATTGTGGGATTGGGACCCCAGGGGTCAGAGGCTGTAGAAGGTCTTGGTGGGAGACAAAGGCTCAGACCATCTCCTCCCTCCCTCCCTCCTTTACCCATTTAAGGGAACGGATTGGTATAAGGAAAGTACATACCGGGCACCTGGCAAGTGCTTCCTAAGAGTCGGGGAACACTAGGAGCAGTAGTTTGTTTGTTTGTTTGTTTTTAAAGATTTATTTATTTATACATACAAGAACTGGAGCACAGGCCAGAGGTGTGGGGAGTGAGAGGATTCACCAGAGACAGAGTGGGGAACAGAACAGGCAGAGAGACTGAAATATACTAGGAGCAGTAGTTTTAATAGGAAGAGAGCAGTGGCTTTAATAGGAAGGTTACTGGGCCCCCGTGTGTCAGTACACGCACAGGCAAGGGTGACACAAGGAGACGGTGGAGACTCAGACCACTGTCTCGTGTGTGTGCAGCACAGGAGGCTGCAGTGGGTCAGCGTCAGCCACTCTCTCCCAATTGGCCCCTGGCCTGAGGGTTCTCAAAAGAAGGCTGAGCACAGGTCAGCTGGACTCTTTCAGAAGCAGGCTGACACTCTCCTGGCTCCCCCGTCTAACAACCACCTAGAGGAACAGCACAGGCAGGGCTCACCATCCACCCTGCTGAGGACACGGGGCTCAGCTGGCTGGGGCTTGTCGCTCTAACCAGGACCCTTGGAGACTCCACACCCCAAAGACTTGGGAGACCTAGAGCCTTCCTGCTCAGCACTACTGCTCCCTCAGGCTGAGCTGGAGGGGCGTGGCCTCCCCTCCCAGGGGCCTGCTAAACCCCTCACTTAGCTCAGAGCCCCCAGGAAGAGGACAGTGAAATGCTGCCAGGCCCCAGGCAGCGTGTACTACCAGGTCACCTCATCTGATCTTCTTAACAAGGGGAAACTGAGGCTCACTCAGATGGCTTTCACTCAACATCTCACACTGGTAAAGGATGAAAAGTTTACGGGATTAAACCCACTGATTCCAGAGTGGGTGCTCCATTTCCCATGCCTGGGTGGGCCTGGAGGGCCCGGGCAGTCTGTGGTGGAGGCATAGGGATTAGGCAGAGTGATGGTGCTGTAGTGGTGATAACCATAGTAATAAGTGATACTCACTGATCACGCTCTCAAGTAACTTAGCTTTGGGGAAACTGAAGCACAGAGAGGCTCGGTAATTTTCTCAAGATCACTCAACAAGTAGATTCCAGGTTCTGTAGCTGAGGAGGTTAACCCTGGAGTCTCAGTCTGGCCTGGGAGCATCACTGGATCCCAGCTGGGGATGGGGGCCGAGCCAGGGGCCCGGCTGAGGGACTAGGGGGCCATGGGGCTGGAAGCTAGAGCTGGTTGAGTCACTGCCTGGCAGCTCTGTGCTCTGGCAGTGTCTGGCCAGAGTTTGCAGTGATCTCACCCCCTTGATGCCCATGCTTTCCCCCAGCCCCTCGCCCCCATCTGCTGCAGGGGGACCCAGGGGGGCAGAGGAGACCAGAACGTACCTCAGAGTTAGCGAAATGACATAAAACTGCCTTTCCTAAAGTATGTGTTCTGATGGCCACCAGTGGGTCCTGAGGCGTCCCTGGTGGAGTTGGGGGGAGGGGGAGAGGTGGGAGTATGTGTTTGGAGGAGTTGGGGAGCACTCCCTATTCACTCCCTCCCCTTCTGCCCCATTCACAGGGCCCATTAGCATTTCAAAGGCTGGAGACCCATCTGTGCTGAGAGCAGTTACTCCTTAACCCAGTACTTCCCAGGCACTGGCCTGCCTCCCTCACAGACTCCTGATTACCCGCCGCCCCCCCAGAAGCTCATCCAGCCCCAGGGAGCTCTGTGGGACACCCTGGCTTGAAAGGGGGGCTCTTGGCCTCTAGGGGGTTCCCTAGCAGTGCCCAGAGACAGGTCCCCTGAAGGCTTGCAGTTGTCTATCTCCCCCGTTTCCAGCTCTGAGCCTCTGCAGTTAAACTCTTTGATCCCTGCCACATGGGGTCTCTTCCTGGAGCTCCCCAGGTTGGGCTGAAGCTAGGGGAGGGTTGGAGCTGAGCAGGGGAAGCACGCAGGTGACTGGGCCTCCCCAGGATTTGGGTCACCTCGGGAGGAGAGGGTGCTGGTGGGCAAGCCCCCACAGGCAGGACTGAGCAGATGGCAGGGGATTATTAAAATCCAGCTTTGTTCTCCTCCAGGCTGGGCCTGAGAGAGGCAGGGAGAGGTGGGGGGGGGGGGGCAAGGCAAGCTGGGCCATTGTCCCTCACTTTGGAGATTTTTCTGACATAATCAGGACGTGAAGAGCAATTTAAGCAGGAAGAGGATGCCTGCCTGAGAACTAAGGGGCTTCCTCGACCAGGCTTATCCAAAATTGCCCACTGCTCTCACCTGGGAGCAGCAGGGGCAGTAAGATAAGATGCCTGACATCATGAAGGGCAGGGGCACTGAGGCACCAGAGAGAGGTAGCTGTTCCAGGGACCTGTCTCCACAGTGGTCACACAAATGACAATGGTGATGATGATAATGGTAATAAATCTGCTGATGATGGAGATAATGATGGGGAGGAAGGAGACAGTGATGACAGGGATGATGAACCTGAAGGTGATGGCTGCTGTTTATCAAATACACTTTATGCACAAAGAGGTTGGTCAGCTGCTCTGGGACTCAAAGGTGGGCAGTGGTAGTGCCTGGAAATGGACCCAGGCTCTGCGGAACTCACAGGCGAAGCCAGGGATCAGCAATCTTTCTCTGTTGGTTGCCAGAGAGTGAATATTTTCAGCTTTGTAGGTCATACAGTCTCTGTGGTAACCACTCCTCCCTGCTGTTGGAGCTTGAAAGCCTCCACGGACAGTATGTAAACAAATGAGCACGGCCTTGTAAAATAAAACCTTATTCACAGAAGCAGACCATAGCTTGCCAGCCCCGGCTCCGGATCATGGCCCAATGCTGAGTTTCGAATGGTCTTCCTTGGTCATCTGCCTGACTCCAGACTTCTCTCTCAGGCCCTGGGCTACTCATCATAGGAAATCCATCCTTGAATGAGGGGGGATCTGCTGCAACTAACATTAGTTCATTCACTTTCCTGCTCTTTGACTCGAATGGCCATTCAGTGCTGTTTTTATCAAGATGATAATTACTGGAAATAATTTTATTAGTAAATAATAATATGAATTATTACGTGAGTTATAAAGTTATATTATTTTCATGGTAATTAATATAGAAAGCCATAGAATTTGGGGTCCAAGTAGGTTTATAAACCTCAGCCCAAAAAGTATCAACTGAAGATTTTGAGTGACTTAACCTCTCTGAATCTCAGTTTCCTCTTCTGTAAAATGGGGACAATGGTCCCTGCCTTGTCTCCCTTTGGGTATGGCTAGAGAATACTAGGGAGTGTAAACCCTTCTCCCAATGTTTGGTCCCTACCCAAGAGCTCCACTAAAAGTTAGCATTTATTTTTATAAGGCTTGTTTGTTGAGCGACTCAATGATGGTGTGAATGAAGGTGAGATCTGATTTGGCTCTCAGTTGACTCTGCCCTTGCCTCCCCTCCCCAACAGGTGAACCTGTACTCGGACCCACCTCAGCCAAGCCACAGCATCCACCTGGGCACTGTACCCCAAGGGACCAAGGTCATGTCCTTTACCATCCCGCAGCCCCACTCTGTGGAGCGGTGGTCAGGCCCTGCTGAGACCCCACAGGCCTCAGAGTCCTCAGGTGAGTAGGGAGAGGTGGTGGCTGGAGGACACTTGTGCCTCTGTCTGCTCTGGGGGTGCTTGTTGACCCTGCTGATGGTACTGGCTTTAGGTCAGGAGAGGGAGGGAGGTGAGACCCCTCCCTCTGCCTTTGGACTTGAAAAGATCAAATGCAATGTGGAAAGGGTCCCATCCCATTCCCCCTCCCCCCGCCCCCCCCCCCATTGCTTTGAGGCAGAGTGGCCTGGGTGGAGCCCTGGCTCGGTTACTTAGCAACTGGGTGAACTTGGGCGAGTTGTGTGACGGCATTGTCACCGTGGAGCCCATATGGGGCCAGGTCCTGCGCCCAACCTTGTCACTCGTGATCTCAGTGACTCCAAACCTCAACTTGGTGAGCATACTCTGATGTTACCCCATTGACAGTTAAGGGGACCCAGACTTGGAGCCATGAGGATGAGCTGGAGCACATGCTGCTACCAGGGGCAGGGCTGGGATTTTGAACCCACCTCTTTCTGTTTTGGAGCCAAAACCGTTGCCTAGAGCCCATTGGCCAGGCTTGGCTCCAGCTGTACGATCCGAGGAAAATGTGACCTTGTTCTCCCCTTTAAGTGGGGATGATACTACCCAGCCACTTTCTGGGGACAGCGTGATGATGGAGTGGAATGACCAAGCTGCCACTTGGTGGTGGTGGTGGTGGTTTTATGGTTCAGCTTCAGTCTCAGCCCCGGGGAGACTGTTGTTGGCCCCAAAATTCATTGTCTGTATATTCCAGGCTGTCCATCAGCTCATGGAGACCTGATCACCTCACCCATCAACGTGGCCACCCCAATGTGGCTTCCAGAGAACCAAGGCATTGCCAAGGACCAGCCCTTCACTGAGCGTACCCAAGCACTAGCTTCTCAGGCCAGTCAGTTCCTGGCCAAGGTGAGTGGACCCCCACCTTTGCCAGGGGAGATGTTACTTCTCTGGGGAGAGCATTGCCTCAGCCTGCTTAAATGAAAGGCTCTCTGTAGGGCTCACTTGTCTGTCACTCCCGTGTCAGAGTTAACTTGGCAACCTTGAAAACATGAGCCTCTTCCCTGGTGACAGAGGCCACTCAGCTCTAGCCACCTACTTGTTGCCCAGTACTAGTTTCCTCCTCTTGTTGGTATTGTGTGCCATCAGATTCTCTAGCTGTGCTTGAGTGTCTTCTGGTTGATTCCTGGGTAAGATCCAGCTCTTTCAAGGTTCTGGATGGTACCAGAACCTTCACTCTGCTTTTCCACTTTAGAATAAGTCACCTCACTTTCTTAGTTCATTTCATGACAGAAATCAAGTCTCCCTTCTCTCTCAAAGGGCCTTTATATTTTCATCAAAGAGCCAAAGTAACTGAATTGTTTGCAAGTCTGTTTATAACTACACATTTGGCTTTATTCCAAAAGAGCTTCAAGGTGGCTTAAAAAACATGCATTACAACCACATCCTGAAAATGGAAGTGAGAAAACTGGAGCAAAGGGGAAGTACGGAAGGAAAAATAAGTAAAATGAATTTAGGGTGAAGTTAGTAAGCCAGATGTTCTGTTGGACCCCGAGCACTTTACCAATGCATGTTTGGCTTTGAGCTTCCTAGTTGCCAATGCAAAAATGTGACATATGCAGTCCCGTATCCATAAAATATTCCCGCAGAGAAACACCAGGATTTTGCTTCTTTCTTTTGGTAACAGCTTTATTGAGTCAAAATTCATCTACCATATAATTCATCCTTTCACAGTGTAAGCTTAGAAAGAAAAGTCTTGAAGAGTGTGTCAGTGATTTTTACCATATTCAGGGGGGTACAACAGTCCCCGTGATCAACTTTAAAGCTTTTTCATCACCTAATAAGAAGCCCCATATCCACTGATTAATCACTCTCCAATCCCCTTTCCTCAGCCCCTACCTTTGTCTCTCTGGGTTTGCTTAGTCTGGACTTTTCATATAATGGATTCATGTATTATTTGTCCTTTTGTGTCTGGTTTCATTCATTTCACATATTTTCCAGACTCATCCATGTGGTAGAATGGACAGGTACTTAGTTCCCTTTTATCACCACCATTCTTGGTCCTGAAACTGGAGAGATTTTCCCTGTTCTGTATATTATAAATTAAGGTCTGGTCAAGGTGGTTAAGAGTACTTGTCATGGCATGTCTGCCTGTGATGTGTTGTAAGTATAAAACACTTTCCGGATTTCAAAGACTTAGCATGATAAACAAAATATAAAATAGACTCGAGGGTATAGCCTCTTGGGGCCACCTTTGTACATTTGTTCTCATTGACCAACGTGATATTAAGCAATACAACGGTACAAGCAAATTGTATTTTTCCTTTTTCATTTCCTCTGTATTTTGTACAGATGGTACCATACTAGAAGCACTGTCCTGTACCTTGACTTGACACCAAAAAGTTGGTCTTGGAAGTGCATATACATAAGAACATACACCTGTGCCTTCCTTCTCTTTGTGACCGCATACTATTCCACAGCACGGCATTTAGACTGTTACCTAGAGTCCACTACCCCACCCCCCTACTATACCGCAGTAAATATCCTGCCTCATAGGTCTTATACACACAAGTGAACTGTGCTTTGCTGTTGATAAATTCCTGGAGATTCCACTTTGATTCTTCCCAGTAATTGCCAAAGCCGGTGGTGGAGTTGGTTTCTGGCACCCACCTTCCTACGCTTGGCAGAAAACCCACATCCTGAGGTGAAACCCAGCTCCTCTTGCCAACATGTGACTGTGGCTCAGTGTGGGAGTCTGCAGTGTTCATCTTCCGGTGTCTGCATTAACGGAGTGTTTTTTCCACGCCCACATCCAGGTGGAGTCTTTTGTAGACCTGATGCAGGCAGGACGGCTCACACCCCGGGACCAACTCAAGGTACTGCCCACTTCAGGAGATGCTCTTGTAACCACCAGACAGCTGCTCTGTCTCCAGTAGTGGAGTCTCTGAAGCCTCCTTTGCTACAATACAGACCAAAAAAATCCCAGGCACAGTGTCTCCTTTTAGAATAAACAGCCCTGCTTAGCTTTCCATGATAATGATGCTTCAAACCAATAGTTCCCACCTGTTAAGTAATGATAATGGGGTGCCAGGCACTGGTCAGCCCTGGGGGTACATGATTTCATTGTATCACTATTAAAACTCAGGGAGGCAGTTAAGCCATCACCCCCATTTAATTGGGATGGAACTGAAGCCCAGAAAGATGGTTCAGAGGTCACACAACTAGCAGGCGGCAGCAGTTTGGCTGCCTGATTCCCAGGCCCAGGGTGGTGATCTCTGTTTCATACTGCTTCCGCCGGGACCCCTGTCCCTAGGCAACCAGAAAGAGCCCTTCTCTTTCATATTTTCTCTATTATAAAAGTAACTGTCTAAAACTTGAACATCAGGGACAAGAGGGAACCCTAACATTGACTTATTTCCTTTTCGGCATTGGTATTTCTAGGTAACTAAAGTCATGTATAAAATTTAGGTTTCTGCTTCACCAGGGTCCCAGGAAGTAGGTGGAGCTTTCAAAGCCGGGAGTGGGGGGCTGCAGGAAGGGGCCGTGAGTAGGGGTGTGGGCAGCCTGGGGAGCCTGACAAAGAGCAGGGGAGCCCAGAGACCATCGCCTGCTGGGGTCTGTTCCCTCCCTACAGGTCTCTCCTCTGTGACCCTGGGCCCTCTCAGTGGCACCCCACCCGATAGATCCCGGGGAGACCAGTGGGCAGGGAGCCCGGCTGGTGCTCAAGGCACAGAGCCTGGTGGGGAGAAGAGCTAAGGGAGGCCTGGAGGGGCAAAGGCAACAGCCTGGTTTGTAACAAAAAGACTATGGTGTGAGTCTTCCCTATGTTGTTATGCGCCTATCGCTTACAATTTCCAAGTGCAAAGTGTATACGGATTACACTTTCTCGCTGAGTGGATGCCGAGGACCTTAAAAATTGACCCCATTCATTTTCTTCCTCTCTGTCCCAAACCCCCCATATCCAAGGAGGTTGGGAACTGTTGGAAGTTTGGCGACTCAACTCTGCCATCAGCGTAGAGTCGGGTGGGGAAAATGCTAACCAGGGATAGTGTCCCCACCGCCTGTGGTTTTAGGCACGTGTAAGGTGTTATTTTGTTTACTATGGGGTCTAGTTAAGCCATGAGCTCTGGAGTTAGAGGGCCTGGGTTCAGATCCTGCCTCTATACTTGCTCACTCACTGTGTGACCATCACCAACTTAAAATAACCTTTCTGTGCCTCAGTTTCCTCCTCGTTAAATGAAGGTGATAAATCACCCCCTCTCTTTATGACTATGTTGACGTTAAATGGATAATGCAAAGTGCTTTAGCTCAGAACCTTCATGCTATATAACTGCTAGTTATTACCGATGATAGAAAACATCATCTGTGCTGATAGTCTGTAAGAATTAGTAATCCCAAATTTTGCAAATCAAGAATGAGGATCCATATCTCTCAAGTACTAGGTCCTTAAGGGGACATAGTGAGAGTATTTGATGCTATAACTGCCATGGAACATTGGGGTTCTTATAGGTCTACCCAGGAGGGGCTGGTGCTAGGGTTGTGTGTCTGCTGTGTCTGCTGTGTCAGTCTGATGGCTGAGAGCTCTGCCAGGACAGGCAGGCCCCAGAGGGTCCCTATTCAGGGACCCCGAGGACTCTGTAGACCCAGGGTGAGCCCCATGGCCCCCCTTAAGCTGTTCTGTCCACTGTGTCTGCAGGGACGAAACCCCCCAGGGGCTGGTACTCAGGTCCTCTTGGTCTGCTCTGGTTTCAGGGTTTCCAGTTGCTAAAGGCTGCCCATGCGGCCCTGGAGGAAGAATACCTGAAGGCCTGCAAGGACCAGCAACTGGCCCAGCAGCCAGCCGGCTCCACGGGAACTCCTGGGCAATTTGATCCTGGCAGGTACACACTGGGGAGGGAGGCCTGGAGGACAGATGAGGCAGGCCTGTAGGGGGAGGCCATGCTCTGTCCTCATAATTTGTACACTAGGGGCCAGGGAGAAATCCTGTCCCAATTAACAACATATCCAAGGGCGGGGATACTGGAAGGCTATTTGTGTCCCTTTGGAATCTCTGCAATGGAAAGTGACCTTGGAGAGAAGAGCTTGGAGAATAGGGAAACTGAGGCAGAAGGCAAAGGGATTAGCTCAGGTACATAGCCTGTTGGCAGTGTGGGGGTGGAATCTGGGGGGACCAGGGCTCAGGTCTGCTGATTACCAGTGGAATCCACTTTCATCTTGTTTATTTCAAGTTCTTGCATAATCTACATGATGATGTTCATGGACTCCACCTATGGACATTCTCTGGGGCCCCCTCTATGAAACATGGCCTCTCTGACCTACCTCACGTGGCTGCCATCCCAGGCTCTTGGTGCTGATGTTTCCCCATTCCAGGGAGCTGGAGGCAGAGATATTCCAGCTGGGAATTCGTCTAGAAGAACTGCAGGACCACATGGACCAGAGCCAGCAGGCCCCCGAGGGAGCCGGGTCAGACCTGCCTCTGGGGAGCCCCCCAGTCACACCCTGCCCCTACCAGCCAAGGTGCCCACCCTCTCCTTCGGCACACGGCCCCACGCCAATCACCCAGACCCTCTGCTCTGAGGTACCTCTCTGCCCAACCACGTTGGTCTTCTCCTTCCTTCCGTCATTTCTCCACTCACTGATTTCTTCACTTTGTAGTCATGATGTGTGTTTCCTATGCCAGGACCCGTGACAGAAGGTGGGAACTCAGTGGGAAATAGCAATGAATAGGCAACTTCTGCCCTCAGGGAGTTTTCTGTCTAGTTGAACAAATTATGTGTTATAAATCCTCAGTTACCTGTCTGGAGAATGGGTTAACTGGTTGTGCTGATGAGATTGTGAGGTGAGGTCTGCAGTGTCTGGCACATAGTAGGTGCTCAGTTGATGGCAGCCAGTACAGTCACATGTTGCTGAGTGATAGGAATACATTCCGAGAAGTGTGTTAGATGATTATGTGAAGGTGAACACCCTAGAGTGTCCTGGCACAGACCTAGCTGGCACCTCCCACGCACTGAGGCTGGAAGGTGCAGCCCACTGGGACCTCGGTCATATGTGGGGTTTAAGCTGCCCATCCTTGACCGACATGTTGCTAAGCAAAGTGTGACCGTAAGGCTCATCAAGCCACCCAGCCCTGGCATCCTGCACAGGTGGAGTTCGGGACGGGTGGAGTTTGGGTGGGTGGGGTGGAGGGTGGAGTTAAGGAGTCTAACCTATTTCTTACTCCAGCCCCCAGCATGAGCCTAGCATGAAACAGGTGCTTAAAAAATGGTGTTTAGTTATCTGCTGAGTGTCTCCCTGCCTTTCTGGCCCCCAGTCCGACGCCACCTGCACGGACCCCCGCCCATCACACATGAACCCGGAGATGAGCTCTGCCAGCAGTGAGGTGGGAGACAGGACACTGGGCCTCCCAGCCCCCCTCAGATGCAAGGAGCTGCAGATGGAGCAAGGCTTCCATGGCCTGCTGGAGCGGTGGGTGTCCCCAGCAGTGAGGCCAGGGTGCTGGCTCTCCCTGGGCCGAGGTCACAGCCTCTGTGTGCTCCTCTGCAGGTACCTCAGTGTGAAGTCCCTTCCAGAAGCCATGAGGCTGGAGGAGGAGGAGCAGGTCTGCACGGAGGACAGAGCAGCTCCCACTCCAGCGAAAGCCGAGGCCAGTGCCCTCCCTGTGGTGCAGGCTGAGAGAGGTCACGGGCCCCTTCTTGAGTATGTCGCTGAGTCCCTCCCCTTGTCCCATACCACCTCCCAAATCACAGGGGTGCTAATTGTCCTGGGTGTAGATAGCCCACTGCAGCTTAGAAACGGCTTTCCAGCCACTTAGCTCGGCTTCTCCAGGTGAGGAAGGTACACCTGTGACAGCACTGGAAATGGCTTCGGGGGATGTGGAACCCGGCTTTCAGCAGGACAGATGCAGCATAATTCTCCTTTTCCATCTTAGACCTTCTAAGAAGGTCAAGGAGAAAGTCTCAGTGCTCTTATGTTTTTAACGCCATTTCCATAAATTTTGCTCTACTCAGAAGACTTAACGTCACTATTTTAAAATTGAGGAGCAGTATTACAAATCACAGGTAGAAATGAACTTAGAAAATAAACAGGAAAACTAGACCATGAACTCACTGAGGGAAGACACCCTCAGCAGCCCCTTTAACCAGTAACAATCCATGTCAAATACGTTTTCCTCTTTTATTTTCCAAGTTAGCCTTTACTTGTAATAGTGTCGGTCTTTCTTAGTAGAGGGAAGTTTATGGAAATAACTGAAGTAGGAGAGATGTTATTGCAAATTCCCAAAGCTTGGTTGTTTCTACACTATTTCCACCATGGTGACTGGGTGTAATTTTGTTGGCATCCCCATCCTATCGTTGAGAAAAGTGAGATTCAGAGAGGGGAGGGGCTTTGCCCAGGATCACACAGCTAAAGGGTGGCAGGATCAGAGTGGGCCCCCAGGGAGCCTGACTCCCAAGCTTGTGCTGTGCCCTGCTTGGCTCCCAAGTCTGGGCTGCTTGGCCTGTGCCAGGGCTCAGGGTTGACATGTCTCTCCTTCCCTGCCAGGGAGACCATGGAGCAGATGGCATCTGTGAATCCACTGGGTTTCCACACACCTGGCATCAGAGACCGGCACCCATCAGGCCTGGGCAAGGCAGAGGCCACTCCCCCAGGCCCTGGCAGGCCACCCCACCCTCAGGGCACCAAGTCCTCAGGGTCGCACAAGAGCAGTCTCACCAGCCTAGAGGGAAGTGGCATCTCTGAGCACCCTCCACAGAAGTCTCTGCACCACACTGGCAGGCCCCAGCTGGAAGTAAGTGTCTGCAGGAGGCCTGGGCTTGGGGCCTCAGGGCCACTCCCTGCATCTTCCAGAGCTTTCTACCTCTGGGCCTTTGCTCATGCCATTCCCTTCCAAACACCTGCTCCCATCCCTGCCAGTCACAGTCCTGCCCAGCATTCAGGACTTGTGCCCAGTATCACCTCTTGGCTGTAACTCTTCCCCTAGTTCCCCACTCCTACCAGGAGCTCTGGTTCCTCCTGAGCAACAATTGCCTATGTTTCTAGAGCTGCATAGCATAGCTGGGGTCTTTTTGACCACGCCAGGCCCTGTGTGCTGTTACAGCAGTAGTTTTTAAATGGATGCAGAGGTGACCAGTTACTGTGTAAATGTGACGTGCTGGGCAGCCTTCTGTAGAATAATGTGTGTGTCTGCATGTGTGTGTACACACACACACATACTCACACACAACCCTCTATAGTCCTAGTGGGCCATTGTAAGGAATCTGCAGCGGGCTGTGAGCTGGAGAGCAGGCACCTGTGTGGCTGTGTTGGGGTTCCTTGTGCCTGACACTAGACCCTGGCTGTAGGAGGTGCATGCATGATGGGTTTTATTTTCCCAATTCATTGGGCCTGGCATTTCTGTAGTCAGATAGGACCGTGACATTCCAGGCCCAAGCCAGAAGACATGTGGACTTGAGAATCCTGATCCTGTAACGGGAATGCTTTCTCCTGCTCTGTCTATTCCTGGCTCAAGAAAACTGTCTCTCTTCCAAGGACCCTGGCTCCCACTCCTCACAGGATGTTCTGGGGTGTCCCCTTGGGCCGCGGAGGCCCTGCCCGGGCCTGAGGACCCAAGGACCCTCACATCCTGGCCTGGCTGTTAGGAGCTGGCCAGACTCCATCTGTGAGGCTCTGGAATGTGGGGCCCAGGCCAGGATGCCATGGGCTTCCCAGAATGCCCTGTACACATTCCTCAGACTTAAAGGGACTCTGCCTCTTTCAGGAGACCTGGATGGCATCCCCGGAGACAGACAGTGGCTTTGTGGGCTCAGAAACCAGCAGAGTGTCACCCCTCACCCAGACCCCAGAGCACCGGCTCTCCCACATCAGGTACCCTGGGGACCCTACTATAGTCCCCCAGTGTCCCACACCAGGGATAGCTTGCTGATCCAACTGCTGTGAACCCCAGAGTGGGGGTGATGGTATGGCCACTCTCAGAGACCTCACTTCATCCCCTCAACCATGGTTCCTCACCCCCATGTTATTGATGGAGGGGAAAGGAGGCTCAGAGAGGGCAAGCGACTTGCCCAGTGTCACCCAGCCAATTAACAGCAGATTGGGAAATAAATACTTGGACAAATGAACAGGTGGATGGTGAATGAATAAGAACTATGGCAGGGTGGAGTGAGATGAGCAGAAGACAAGGATAAAGGGCAATTGGGCAGCTACCTGAGGTAGGGGCTGGGCTGGAACCCAAGGGGAAGGGAGACGGGGCAGGGAACACAGAAAAGGGAGGCAGAGAAACCATGTAAAGTGGTGACCTCCAAAGCCCCCTTGGGAAGCCCATGTGCCAACCCAGGGCTGCTTGGGAAGAATGGATAGAAATTCTATTTCTCTTCATAGGCCTTAAAAACAAAATTGAACTTTATTATTTTGTGGATATGGGTGGGCAGGTGCACTGCTCTGCAGTTTAAGAAATGCAGGTGTAGTGGGGTGCATCCTCAGAAATATCGTGCACACAGGGTGATGTCGAAAAGGTCAAGAACTCATTGGCTTCTGTGTGGAGGGGCTCCGAGGCCATAGCCCCTCTCTCTGTGATCTGAATGAGTCTCTCCTTGGTACCGCAGCACCCCAGGGATATTAGCCCAGCCCTTCACGGATTCTGTGCCCCGGGAAAGAGCCTCCCACCCCCAGACCAGGGGTCCTCGGGTCCCCAGAAGAGTCACTGAGCCCAGCACACCCAGAAGCCGAGCCCAGAGGCACCTCTCCGCCCGGGGCAGTCCTCTCCCGCAGAAGACACCCAGCTTCCCCCCAGAGCCGACGCTAGCTACAGAGATGGGTGAGTGGATACTTCTGGGTTGGCCAGAACCTTAGGTGACCAATTGTATTCGTTTAAAAAAAAAAAAACCCAACAGAAAAACTTGCATTACCCTTTAAATATAAAATACTAGAAGGTTCATTATAGGAAAGTTGGAAGTTACAAAGTCAACAAAAGAGAACAAAGAAAAAATACACTGGAAACGATTATACTGGCCTTTTTTTTTTTTTTTAAAGATTCATTTATTTATTTATACAAGCTCTGGGTATAGTCAGAAGCGCAGGAGGGTGAGAGAATCCACCAGAGCCAGAGCGGGGAGCAGAGCAGGCAGAAGGACCGAAGTACACTGCTGAGGGGAGCAGCGGCGGCAGGAGAGGTCTGCGCGCCATGTGGGACCCTCCTCCAGTGGCCGGGGAGCAGCCAGGGATTGAACTGGTGCCGCAGAGGCTGCGGGCAGCTTCGCAACCCAGCGCTCAACCGCTGCGCCACCGGGGAGGCCCTATACTGGCCTTTTGGTGTAATACCTGTGAGCCATTTTGTGTGCCAGTCATGTACATGTACATAATCTTAGAACAGAGATGGGATCCTATCATACATGAATGCTTGATAACCTTTTTGTCCCCACTTAAAATTGTATCACAAACACCTCTGGTCTATAAACTCTGATACCATTTTTCACCTTTAAAAAAATGTGAACTTTTTAGGGAAGTAAAGCAAACCAATGTACAGGAACATTAAGTCGGTGAATTTTTGCAAAGTGAACACAGGCCCAGAAACCCTACATGAATAGCATCCAGACCCCCCTGTGGGGACCAGTGAACCTTCACTGCTTGACTTCTAGCACCTGAGGTTAGCTTTGCCTCTTTTTCTAGTTTGTCATCCTCATATTTTTGATTAAAGTTTTTATCTTGAGATCACTGTAGATCACATGTAGTTGTGAGAAGTCACAGGCAGAGATTCCAGATCCCCCTCACCCAGTTCTGATAACATCTGGCAGATGTTATCGACATCGATACAGTCAAGACAGAACATTCTACTGCAGGTTCCTTCCTGTTGCCTTTTGGACATGTACCCATGTACCCCCCCACTACCTACACTCTTCCTCAGCACCTGGAGACACGGCACTGTTTTTACCTCTAACTTTGTCATTTCAAGAATGTTGTATCCGTGGAGTCATAGGATATATAAGTTTGGGGAGTGGTATTTTCACTCAGCATACTTTTCGGGCGGTTCATTTGGATTGTTCCAGGTATCTATAGGATGTTCCTTGATTTATTGCTTCAGCAGTACCAAGGCCTCACTGGTTTTCGTGCCCAAACCAGATTTTTAACCTCTGGTGTCTCCTCCCATTGAAAGAGCTGGGGATGCCCTCCCCGAAATAGACAAAGGCAAAGGTGTGACTGCAATTTCAGAGGCAGGGGAGGATCAGAGTTGGTCCCAGCACAGATCAGTAAGATGCAGGATCAAGTCGGGAATGGGGGGAGAGTGAAAAAACAATGAACTCTCAGGATGGGGTGCTGGGTCTGATGCCAGGACGGGGAGCAGTTCTGCAGGCCCTGCTTAACACCCTAAGCTTCCAGCAAAATCCATGTCTTCTGGTTTTGAGGTCAATGGGTCCTTGACCTCATAAGGAATTTCGTGACCTCAGCCAGCCACTGTCCATAGTTCATGCTTTGAGGGTGTTTCTTTTTGTAAACTCACTTGGCTCTCTTTTTGCCTCCCGAACTGTCCCAAGGTTCAGAGTTTGAGAGACAAAAGCGGATTTCTGAACAGCACCCTGCCAGCAGGACCGTCAGCCCTCCCACCGCCTCGATCCCAGACATCCCAGCCCATGCAGCCCTGCCCCATGGACCAGCAGAGACCACTCCTGGCTTCCTCTTCACCAGATCAGGGCGAGAGTAAGTCGCATACTTGGACGCCAGGGAGTCGAGCTCATCCCAGGCAGGAGAGCGGTGCCCGAGCGAGGCAGGGCCTGCTGGCACTCAGATCTGGTGGTGGCACCAGACCAACCCACACATCTTGCCTTCCAGCTCAGGGTGCCTCTGTGGGGCCTCATTGATCTGGGCTCTGAGGACACTTTTCCAGTTACTGAGAAATGAGCTAGAGGTTCACCTTTGGCGCTGAGACCTCTCCCTGCTCCCTGCATGTCCCTTCCAAGACAGGGCAGGCAAATGTTTTCACAGGGACATGTTTTCTGCAGTTCATGCATTATATGAACTGTGTTTTTCCAATTCTTCTCTTTTTAATCCAAGTATAGTTCTAAGGAAGTTGTTTCTTGCTTGGTTGAACACAAATGGCAAAATAGGCTGCTTGGTCCTCATCTTCTGAGTGGCTTGTGGCCAGTAATCAGGTGCTTTTACAGGATTGGGATGTCTGTCCCTGAATGCACAAGATGACTGCGCTGCAGTCACCAGTCTGGGCCTCCTAAGCCTGTTGCAGTTGTGAGGGTGTTTGTCATGTGCAGAGCTGGGTTGAGCTGCTGGCATTTGGCTTCCAAGGCCGAGTTTAATAAATGCACTGCAGTCCCCTGTGACGTCAATGTGCCTGTAGTACCCAGGCCATGGGAACACACTAGTTGCCTTGTAAGGATCACTGTCTTGTAAGAGGAACAGAGCGACAGGTGCTCACACCCAGGGTGACAAGCACAAAGTGGCAAAGCCCAAAGGACTCTGGGAGCAGAGAAGGGGCATCTAGCTCAGAGGTTTCAGGGAGGACTCCCTGGAGGAAGTGGACCTGGAGAGATCTTGGAGGGCCTTGAACTCTGGTCAGAGGTTTGGAAGGTGGCTTGTCTCAGAGGTGCTTGCTGAATATTTATGAAGGCGTGAAGACTCACCTGAGGACAGTGAAGGCAGGGGGGCGGGGGGTGGTGGTGGTGGTGTGGTAAGGTTTGTGGCTTTTTTTTTTTTTAAAGATTTATTTATGCATACAAGAGCTATAGTGTAGGCCAGAGGTGTAGGGGAGGGTGAGAGGATTCACCAGAAACGGAGTGAGGGGCAGAACAGGTGGATCTACTGAAATACCCTGCCAAGAGGAGCAGCGGGCGAGACAGGAGAGGTCTGCTGCACCATGTGGGTAGCTCCCTGGCCAGGGATTGAACTTGTGCTGCAGTGGCTGCAGATAGCTTCATAGTGCTAAGACTTAATTCCTTGCACCACCACAAAGCCCCCAGGTTTTATAAAAAGTTCTATGGCCACTGGGAGGGGGAGAATGTAGGCCGGAGCAGATGCATTTGAGAAAAGATACTTAGGCTTCGGGCCCATAGGACTTGCGAGTTCCTCAGCTTTAGGGACTGTTCATGGAAGGAAAGGTTTCTCAGATTTCTGGCTGGCCAGCCAGGTGGATGCTATGAGGAGATGAGAAATCCACAAAGGACGTGGTGGCCAGTTTGTAGGGAAAGATGGATTTTATGTCCCAACTGGCACCAAAGAATGAAGCTCTTGATAGAAACCACCCAGAAGGAGCAAGTGCCACCCAAGTGGCTGTTCCAAGTCCTGGGCCCTTAATGAGTGATCTCTGGCCAGGGCCAGGAAGCTCACATGCAGCGCCAAGCTGCTACCTAGCCCTGCGTGGGTTAATGGGAAGGGAGCCCTGCCTCTCCTGATCCTCCACTCTCAAGTGTGCCTTGGAAACCCCACATGCGTCTCCCTGGGGATCGCCAAGGGAACCCGCTTGGACGCGCAGAGCACACCACACTGGGGCTTAGCCAGAGAAGTCGCCTGCTCCCTGACTCACTCACCTGAGAGCTGCAGGTGGTGCCAGGAGACAGCCTCCCACAAGCCCAGGGGCCACGAGGCAAGAACCAGCCCCAAGGGGACCCCCTCCCCAGAAGGACTAGATGTAGAGCCTGCATCAGCTCAGAGGACACCATGCTGGGCCCAGACTCTGGCACTCCGTGGGTAGGGGGATTGCAGGTGGGGTGTTGTGGACAGGGTGGTCTGCCCCGTATCAGCCATGCCTGCAGGTGGAGATGCTAGAGATTTGGCAACTGGTTGGAAAGAAATGCAGACCGTGTTTTCTCCCTGGGTGCTGGTGGCTTGCTGAGACACATTGCCATCGGGGTGGCTGTGTTTGGGGATTTCACCAGGAGTAGGACAACCTTGCCAATAGCACCCCGTGTCTTCCCACCTACACATAGTGTGTGTTGGCAATGACTGTGATGTCTCCTTGTCCTGTCTCCATGCCCTGCCCCTTCCTGCTCCCTCGTGGAGTCTGGAGTCCAGTTCAATAATGTGCGGAGCCTCTCTGAGGGGTAAGGTCTTGAGGCATGAGATGCGGAAGTCTGTTCCTTGCCTGCCAGTGGCTCGCTGTCGGGAGACTGTTCTGTCAGGAGCAGAGGGGAGGGGCTGAGGAAGGCAGTGAAGATACCCGGACTAACGGAGTTTTACAGACCATGGTAGGGGGGCAGGGGGGAGGGTAGCCTGGGGCTAAGAATTCTATCTTTAAAGCAGAATCATAGCCGGTGCCCTCTTTATTTTGCACCCTCATCTCTAGCTTGAGAATTTGTCATGAGTGTTTCAGAACAGCTGCTCAGAGGCCCTGTGTTAGTATGGGAAAGTCAAGGGAAGTTCTGCTTTGCTCAGCGTGCAAGTACATGAACTCAGAGAGGTGCTGAGATGCCTAGGGAGAAAAGTGGACACACCGGGCATTTTGAAATTAAGTAACAGCAGTTGGGCCCTGTGCCTGCTAGAAAGGGGCTCAAGCTGCTGCATCAGGTACCCCCCTGTTTATCGGCATCTGTTCCTGTCTCCATTCCCACTGCAGCCAGGCCATCCGAGAACTGCAAGAGGAGGTGTCTCGGCTCCGCCTGCGGCTGGAGGACAGTCTGCATTGGTCACCCCAAAGCAGCCCGACACGCCCAGTGTCCACCTTTGACCGCCCCACCCGGGCCCGGGACCGGCCAGCAGATGCCTCAGCTGCTTGGAGCACCCACTATGGCAGGTGCGTGACCCCAAGATTCCCACCCACGTGCCCTGGTGGCAGCACAGGAGGAAGACTTGGCGGCTTCTGGCTTGCCCCAGACTCCTGGAGCCGGGCACATGCTCACTCCTTCAGTAGTTCATTCACTTAGGGTTTTTTTTTTTTTTTAACTGTGTAACATCTGATGTACCAAGGCTATATTCAATACATGTTAATGAAGCATGGTACAATGAATGTTCCTAACCTGACCACCCTCTGAAGAGCTGGGAAAGTTCCAGGATGCTCACCCTCTCCCCCATGCACTCTGCAGTCAGGCATGGGGATTACATGCGATCAACAAACTTCTGGAGATATTTGGCTAAGCATTTTCTGGACAAGTCTCAATGCCTCCAACAACCCTCCGAGGCAGTTGCTATCATCTTCATTTAACACACAAGAAAACGGAATCAGAGAGGCTCAGAGTCGTTTTCTGTGACTCCCAACTCCAGAGTCTGAGGTTTTGGCTTCTCTGCCACCCGCCCCCCATTATGCTATGAGCTTCACTCCAGCTTGGCCTTCTCACTCATCATCTTTAAAGGTCCTGTGAAGCCTCTTGCAGTGACATCATCTTTCTCTTTTGCTAGTAAATCCACAGAGAGGTTGTCTGGCGAGCCTGGAGGTGCAGAAAAAGCTGTCCCTACAGGAAGGCGGCGAGCCAGGTCTTCTTCGATGCCTCGGGATGTGCCCCGACTGTCCCTGAGTAAGTGCCTGCCAGGGCTGGTTTCTGGAGGCCACACCTGTCGTCAGGGACCACAGTAACAGCCTTGGAGGAAATGTGGAAAGGCTTATGTCTGTTTAGGCAGCTGTAGGGCTCCGAAGCCCGGCACCCTTCCAATAGCAGCCGCTGTATCTGTGAGGCCTTTGTGTCTGCATCACCTCCCTTAGTCTTCACTGCAAGGTGGGTCACATGATCCACATTCTACAGACAGACACCAAGGCCCACAGTGCAGGGATTTGCCAGAAGAACACAGCTCTGGAGTCAGTAGCGGGTTCAGCACCAGCTCCACTTCCTCTTGGCTATGTGACTGCAGTTGCTTCCCTGCTGAGCAGTTGAAGGGACATCTACCAGCCAGTAGTCATAGCAGCCTCCTCCTGGGATTGCCATGAGGCTGCATGACGTGGCACGCACAAAGCATATAGGCCAGAGCTTGGCCACCGCTGGATTCTGAATGTGTCAGCTGTTGTTACTAAAGGGTAGGCCTGGGATTAAAACCCTCAGAGCCTGAACTTGTGCTATGCTGACTCCCGGAGCTGTGCAATGCCCCCCTCCCCAGCCTCACTTATGCCCCCTATTTCAACTCTAGGTTCTGAATCTGAGCCAGCCTCTCCCCGGCTATTCTCTGAGAAGAGCAGGACCGCCGAGGACAGTCCACAGGCAACTTGGGACAGAAAGAGAGGAGTGGGCAGCGCTGGACGGCCAGACAGGGTTACCTTCTTGGGCCAGTACACAGGTGGGTAGAGGGGGTGGAGAGAGAGGGCACGGGTGGCCCCAGCGCCCTGGTGTTCTGCCATGAGTGGCCTTTTCTATTAGCCCCTGGACCATTCAAACAGCATCCTTTCCACTGTTCCGTGGTACGAAAGACATCAGAATCTTCCATGCTTCCATGGAATCTTCATGAATCTCAGTGCATTCATTCATCTAAACATTCATTCGGCAAAGAGTTTCCATCGCCTGCCCTTCTGGGGCCCACGTGCGGGTACTTAGTACATCAACTGGTCGATCATAAAGAGGTCAAAAAAGCGCCTGCTGGTGGCAGGACCTGAGCTACAGGGTGACTGTGGAATCTGTATCACTTGCTCCTGGCCTCCCCCTCTTCAGGCCCGATTCCCCGGGGGGCCCCTGTGTCTTATGAACTGGGCACCCAGCACACAGTAAGGTTTGAGGTGACACATAGAATTTCAAAGCCCTCAGCATTAAGAGAAATATGGATACGGCTCCTACTTCCAGGAACCTGACAGCTTAGCAAAGGGGACAGCAACGAACAAGCAATTATAGTGGGCATGTGATCATAGTGAGTAAGTAAATTGCAGGCGTGACTCCCAGCCATACCTCCCTGGGAGTGAGGGCAGTTAACCTCACATCCACATGGCTAAGTGCTGGGGACAAGGCCGGAAACCAGAGACACACGTTGGCCCTGCTGGAGCTGGCAGGGCCGAGGAGCAAAGTTGAGACAGCAGCCAGCCCACGGGGCCCGTGCAACACACCAAGTGCCAGGCGGGAACCCTGCACTGTCGCAGGAGAAAAGATCATTATCAGGCCACATTCTGAAGGTCTTATTTGACGCATTTGCCAAAGTAACCGCTGCACTAAACCCACCCTGTGAAGGTCTCATCTGAGACTCCGGGAGGGATAAGACAGCATGGCGGACTGGGTGAGGACCCGGCAGTATGGAGGGCTTTGTATCTGCGGGGCACTGGTCAGAATGCAGCAGGGTTGGTTGCCACACAGTCCTCCCACCAATCCTGGAATCCCACACTGACTGTCCCCACCCAGAGCACAGGGCAGAAATGCCAAAGCCCCTAGCCATTCCCATCCCTCCAGCAAGACAGGTTGGGGCCACCATCGGACTTGCTCATTGCTTGCAGGTGCTTCCAGGCCGTCTTTCAAATCCTAACTGAGCACGGATTTATTAATTGTTCCTCAGTGTCAAGACCTAGGCAGCTGGCAACTAAGCAGGATCTGAGATGACATCGGAGTCTGGACAGCTTTTTAAAGACAAATAGGTTTTCATTTGTGTGTGTTATACACACATGTACATATTTGTGCACAATTGACATTTTGTATTTGCACAAGTGTGTGTGTATGAGAGAATGAATGACTCAAAACCATCTGGAGAAAAGAGAGCATTATACTAAGACCTCCCCAATGCATCCATGCAGAGGGCTGACACTACCTGTTCTGTTTTCCTCCCCAGGCCAGGAGTACCATGTTCTGACCCCCAAAACTGTCCCAAGAGGCAGTGGCACAGTCTCTTGTACCCACAGCCGACCCGTTAGGACCCAGGATGCAGGTAAAGGGGGTACCTGGAGAAGTGGTCAGGACAGGGAGGCCGCCTTCACTCAGGGAGGGTGCAGTTGGGCCAGACGTGGGATAGCCCTGAGCTCAGTGGTGGGGCAAAGGTATAGACGAGAAGTGGATTTTTCTGGACTTGTCAGCCTTCCCAGGATATCCTGTCACACATGTTGCTCCAGGTGATGTTGCCTGAAGCCACCTCCTTGGCCTTGACACATAGAACCCATGGATGGAATTTAAGAAGTTCCTGAAGTAGCCTGACAAGGGGGTGCTGGCACAGGGGGCTGGCATTGGTGATGATGTCTCATCTCCCCTCCATCCTCCCTCCACGCCTCTCCTTTCCCCCAAACCAACAAGGAGGAGTCGTGGGAAGAGCAGCGGCCTGAGAATAGGAACACCCAGTTCTAGGTTGGTTCCACTGTGGATCGTAGGTCAGTTTCTCTTCTGAGCCTGAGGCTCCACATTTAATGGAAGGTTTAGAGGTGATCTGAGGCCATTTCAGGCAGTGATGAAGAACCATCATTTATTAAGCCCTTACTGTATACAGAGCATCATGCTAAGGGTTTTACAGACGTCAGTCTGCACAACTCTAAATAGGTTTTACCCATTTTATTATTTTGCCCATTTTGTGCCTAAGGACACACAACTTACAAGTGATAGAGGCAGGACTGCCTCTAGAGGTCTTTGTGACTCCAGAGCCCTGCCTCCTTACCACCGTGTCATTCTGCCTTGCTTGAGTCCCAACATCCATCCATCCATCCATCTAGCCAGGCTTTTCCCATGCTGGGCCTGTCCCAAAGGACTGCTCAGCTACAGTGACAAGGCAGAGTGGCCCACTTGAGACACAGAAGCACAGAACAGGACTGGCAGCACCTAACTCAGCCGAGGGTGAGGGAGGATGAGGTAGGAGGTTTCCAGAGGAAGTGGTGTCCAAGCTGAGGCCTGAAGCAGCAGATCCGCCTGGAACTCACCCAGATGTGGTGCTGAGGATTTGTGCAGGAAGACAAGAAGGATGCCGACCCTCCTCCTGCTAACCTAGGCTCTGAGGAACTCCTGGTGCCCAGGGCAGGGGCATGGGGGCCACTCCCACCTGGGGAAGGGGCTTGTCTCCCTGTGGAGCAATGGCCAGAGCCAGAGGACAGCAGCTGCCCAGCTCCGAGACCCAGGAAATCCCTCAACCTCCTGGAGCCTCAAGTTTTCCTGCTCAGAGGACTGCAGAGATTTAGACAGTTCTCTTCTGACATCTCCCCCTCCTCTTCCAGGTGGTGCTGCACCCAGGGACCCCCTGGCACCAACTCTCACTGATACCCTGCGATGTCCCCTGTGTGGTCTAGTTGGGTCCCCCTTAGAGGGAGCCAGCCTGGACTCAGCCACCTCTGGTAGGGACAACTCGGTTCTTCCCTCAGCTCTCTTGTATGCGGAGTTCGGGGCCCGGGCAGGTCCAACCAGCCTGAACAGAGCCAACCGGACAGTTTCTTAAAGCAAGACCCACCCCACACGGCCAGCGTGTCCAGCTGTAACAGGGAGGTGGGGCGGGGTGGGGGGCTCCTATTCTCTGCGACATCTTCCCATGTGGTCATTCTGTCTGGTGTCCCTCCCTGACAGGGACAGAGAAGGCCACCATGAAAAAAAATGCATCTGCAACATCCAGCCCCAAGCAGAGGAACAAGCGAGCAGGGTCACCGCCCCGGCCAGCCCCTGGACTGTGGTATCTGGCAGCTGCACCCTCGACACCAGCCCCTCCCGCCTTTGCCTACGTCTCCTCAGTTCCCGTCATGCCCTACCCATCAGCCACCATGTAAGAACCTTCCTTCTGGCCTCCCAGCTGCTCCATCTTAATTGCTTGATACTTAGCATTCAGGCCTGTGTCAGGCAGCTGAGAACCCAGGCGCTGTGTACTCCCGTGTTTCCCCCTTGTGCATAATGAGCAGTTCAAGCCCGACACTGGGTGGTCACTCAACAAACCCTGAATGTTCCCTGTGTGTCAGGGAGAGTGCTCAGCCTAGCTGTGAAGGAGTTGGTCAGGGCCCTGTCCTCTGGGAGGTCAGCCTCAGGAGATCTAGGTCCCTAACCATCATCCATTTCTTTGTGGGTATTGTGAACCAGGCAGCTGGTTAATGAGCCTTCCTCCACAGCAGGTAGGAGTCGCTTCTGCAGGCTCAGGCATCTGAGGTGGGGACTCCTGCCTGTGCTCCTCTCAGGGGCAGGGGGAGGAGGGGGCGAAGCTGGAATTCAGTGACCCAGGAGAACGTTCAGTGTCCACACTGGCCACGGGATCTTTTACCTCTCATGAGGCTATTCCATATCCCTCTGGGCTCAGATCCAGGGACAGAATTTACCAGATTGCTGTCTTCAGCAATCAGCAGTGGCTGTGGGGGAGGGGAAAGCCCTGGGCTTTGGTGTCACAGACCTGCCTGAGGTAGCCACGTAACCTTGGCCAGGTCACTGTGCTCCTCTGTGCCTGTGTTTCCCTCTGGGAAATGGGGTGTGGTAAAGAGTAAGGGAACAGTGCATGGAAAGCCCTTAGTACACAGAATGTAGCCAGGAACCCAGATCCACCAAATGCTGCTTGAATTGGGGCATAACACTCTGAAGTTCCTCCAGCTGCCCATCAATAGGACTGAGCATGCTCAGTGGCTGAGGCAGTGCTTGAACGCTAACTGGCCTGTGCTGCCACCTGCTGGCCATCTGTCTTCTAGCCCCTGCCCCAGAGGCTTTCTAGCCATGGGCTGTCAGCTAGTCTCCCCAGCACTTTCAGGCAGCACCCCCTCATTCCTGCAGGTCCAGGCTGGAAAGGACACCCTTCTACCTGCTGCTCTCCTGAATGAGTGCAGTCAGCCTTTCCCACTCCTGCAGGGCCCTGTTCTGTTCCTCAGTGCTCCCCTTGGCAAATGGGACCCCATGCATTGCGGCCTGAGGAAGGGGGTTTGCTGTAGAGCCTGGGGTAATCCTGGCCTACAGAAGGTCTGGCTTTCAGATTAGCAGCACCAACAGGGTGGTGGGATGCATGTTAGTTGGGTAACCAGGATAACCCCAGGGCCTAACACCGTGGTTGGCACATGTTTTTGGTCAATAAATATTCATTAAACTGGTAGATTGAGCTGGCTACTTTGAGCACCTGTGCTGGGTCAGGTGCTCAGAAATGCAGTTACTCCTCCCCATTATAGAGATAAAGAAGCTGAGACCAGGGTAGGGGTCAGGGGCCCATGTTGGCTTGGAACAGGGTAGGTTCCAAAGTGATGCTTGTGGCTCCACCCAGCCCTTCCATGGTGACGGACATGCTTGCTCTTCTCCTCAGGTACTTCGTGCCCCCTGGATCTACCTCAGCCCCCTCAGCCCAGCAGGCCGCAGAGTGGCCCCCCACAGCTTCCTCTCGGCCGTCCAGGACTCACCGGCGCTCCATCCAGCTGGACCTGGAGGACCTGAGGGAGCTCAACAAGGCCCTGAGCCAAGCAGTGCAGGCTGCCGAGAGTGTCCGCTCCACCACCAAGAAGATGAGCCGCTCCCTGTCTGCAGACCTGCGGCTTGCCCGCGGCCTGCGCGGCTCCTGCCTCTTCTGATTCACAGGCTCAGAGGGGGCAGCCTCAGATGGCACCTATGACCAGGTGTTGGGCAGGCCACTGCTGTTCCCCAGGCCAGGAGCTGGCCGGAGCCTCTCCCGAAGGCCCCCCAGACGCCTCATGAGGAGGGGGTGTCCTGCCTGGTCTCGATTTTCCTAATGGAGGGACATCCAGTTATCAAGGGAAGTAACTTCCCAGGGGCCAGCACCTGGAGGGGGTGCCGGGATATCGCCGCCTCTGTCCTGATGCAATATCTGGGAGTCTTATCTAGTCCTCCTCCACAGCCCACCTCCTGCTAATAATGTGTATTTTATGTACAAATGGACAGTTTTTTTAATGCAAGCTTTCCTGGTCTGGGAGCCTCCTCAGGAGGTCAGATAAGAAGGGAAAGACCAGGGTCGCTGGCACAAACCGAACCCCTGCCTATGACCAGCCACTCCAGAGTAAGAGTTTCTGCGGTGGGAATGTTCTCCTGGAGACTGGTGGTCTGTAGGCCATTTTGAGGCCACTGGGATATCGGGCCTCAGGATATGCTCCAGGCTTCTCCACAGTGGGAGAGGCCTTCCCCATAGTCCCCCTCGGTACCTCATCCTGAGCCCCCAGGCCTGCCCCTGGGACACCTGTGGAATCTGGTGAATGGCCAGCTACCTGCCACCCGATCTGTGGACATGAGGCCAGCCTTCTCCTGCTCCCCCAGCCCCTAGCAGTACGGACCTCAGCATTTTCTAGAATGTGTGTGCATCAGTGATGTTTGTATATTTGAAGCATTTAAAGTTCTATTTTCGTTATGAGGACAAATGAAGTAACTGTTGATCTGAAATAAAGAAAAGGCTACAAAAAATCATTCCCAAACTCGCCCACACCTGTGGCATGTGTCATGGACTTAGGTTTCTAAATCCTGTCAGGGAGAAGGTGGATGCTTAGCCAAGCCCTCACCAGGGGGAGCCATTGAGGGCTCTTTTCCAGACCCTGCCTGCCCCCCTCGGCTGGCTTCTCTTTCCCCAGCATCCCGTCCTGCCTATCTCAGAACCAAAACCCTTCACACTGAGACCAGAGACATGAGAAACAGCAAGTGTTTGCAGAGCCGCAAGCCTGGACTCCCTAGGTCTTCTTTTCCAGCAAACAGCTGCCTTTACCGAGCACTGGACCCAGCGTGCTCCCCACAGCCTGCACCCCAACCCTCCTGGTATGGGTCTTATTGACAGGAATGTCTTCCAGAACAGCCCATGGCATCTCCCCAGCCCATCTTCTTGTTCCAGGTTTCTCTTCCTATACCTCCATGAAGTGTTTTCCTCCCAACTCCTTTTTCTTCAGTTTTCCTAAACCATCAAGTTTTTTCTCTGACTTATTTCTCCTCCTAAACCTCCATGGAGTTTTTTCTCCCAACTCTTTTCTTCTGTTCCCTTTCTAAGCTTCCAGGAAGGTTTTTCACTGTCACTCCTTTTTGTTTCTCTTCCCAAACCTCCATGAAGCTTTTCTCCCCAACTTTTTTTTCCATCTGCTTTTCCTCTAATATGCCCACTCCTCTAATTTTCCTCTAATTCACCCGGCCACCCAGGACACTTTTCAGCTGGTACTTCTCGGAGTTGCACAGGGCAGCTGCTGAAAGAAACCCTCATGGGGATGATTCCTGGTAGGAGCTGAGCCTCCTGGTGTAGCCCCTTCTCTGGGACCAAAAGGCTCAGCTCATATTCTGGGGATGTCACAAGGGGGAACTGAGATGAGGCCCAGCATGGCCCCCAGCTTCGAAAAGATACCCCATGCCTTGGTGGGGTAGATTCATTGCTGATTTAGGCAGATGAAAAAAGAATTTTGGAGCCCTCAGTAGATTTGACAGGCCCTTAAAGCTGAAGCAGGGAACCAGACAGGTAGGCAGAGAGGTAGCAACTGAGTCCCTGCAAATCTCCCCTTTTATCCCTCGCCCTCTTGGCCCAGGTGTCCAGTTTTATATATGCACGCACCCAGTGCCCTCTGCTGCTCAGCCTGGCCTGGGTGTGGGTAACCATAGGGGCACATGCCTGTGCTCGTGCTCCAAGTGCTTTTTGCATTAACAGGGTATCACGTGCAGGTCATGCGACCTGGGAGGAAAACAAGGCCGCAGGTGGCAGCTGTAGAGGCTGCTGGAAAAACAGCCTGAGTACCTTGTATTCCTTACCCCTGCACAGAGCAGTCACCCCAGCTTTGAGCAAAGGGTATGGAGTTGGGTCTGGGCAGCCTGGCCTTATAGGGGAGACACAGGGTGCTGACCTGAGTCACGGGACTGGGCACTGGTGCCAGTCATCATCCAGTTGCTCTGGGTGGCTCAGGCCGCTCACGTGTGGAGCTGCCCAAGTACCAACATTCACTTAATGTGTTTGTTCTTACCTCAGTGGTGCTGCTCCCTTCACACAGCCACAAATCCCAAAACCCCAGGGTCTGGAAGGAGGCCCCCTTCTTTGCTGGATCCCTGGCTTCAGGCGCTCAGTACTGCTTATGCCTCTCCGTGGACTTGCCTCACATGGCTCATGTCAAGGGCTCCAAACCTATTTGCAGGATGTCACCCGGTTTCTCGGGGCCAACATAACCCCTAGGTCTCTAACCCTCCTTCCTGGTGGACACCCGAGAACCTTTCATAGAAAGATGAGGTCCCGAGTCCTCCCAATCTCCCCTGCCCACTCTTGTCAAGGTGCTCACAGCAGCCACCTGTCAGCCATGCCTTCCCCGGCAGGCAGATGGCCAAGGTGAGGCGTGCAGTAGGGTCCCTCAGAAATGGCCCATGTGCTTCAGTTCTCGCCATCCCTTAGCCACATCAACTTCAGCATCTACCTAGACGTTCCCTAAACTTTTTCTCTTAGATACCTGGCTTATAGTAAGAACAGCAGGTATTATTAAGCTCCTAATGAGTCCCGGGGCAAGTTAGGGTTAATGAGCCAGCTTCAGGGACAGCACTATCTCAGACTCTTCTGAGATAAGGGTAGTAAATTTTAAGAAACCTTGGACAGGGGAGGTAAAAAGAGAAACTCTAAGATAAGAGCTAGGAAAATCAGCACATCTGCCCACAGGACTAGGGCCACTAGGAGAAAGAGCCAATCATGAAGTAGGAAGATGAGATGTCAGAATAGAGAAACAAAAGGTTTAAACACCCCTAGACACAGGCCCACAAGGGCATCTTTGCCCCTCCCAAGTTCAGCAAAGCTGCAGTCCTTGCTTTTTTCTTTTAAATATACTTTCTGAAAGTTTCTCTCCTTATCTAATTTGTCTGCAAATTCTTTTCACAGCTTCCTGGCACAAGAACCTGTGTTGGTTCAAGGGCTAAACTAACAATGCACACCAGCATCACTAATCTTAGGAGACTGATTTAGATGCCCCTTCCAGGAAGCCTTCTAAGATTTCCCCACCGCAGAAGGAACCTTGTCCAGCTGGGCTCCCACAGCACAAGTGTATCATCCAGCCCCCCCATGTGCTGGGCGTTACAAGCCAGGGGAAGGGTCTCATCCCATGATCGGCCAAGGCTCAACTGGGGGCTGCTTCATCATGAATGAAAAAACAAGTGAATGTATAAGTGAATGCGCAAATGACCTCCAGCAATTGCCAAATGTAGACTTTACTGATACATCTGAAGGAAAGAACTGAGGTACAAAGAGTGGGGCAAGGGGCTGGGAATGACCCCCAAATTCCCGGATGTTCTAACCCAGTGCTCACTCTTCTTTGGCCCCCTCCTGCTCCTTCTTCCTCTCTTCCTCGTGCTGCTTCTCCAGCGGCCCACACTGATCCTAGAAGGTAGTGGGAGAAGGAAACACCATAGGTGGGAGGCGAGGGGCTGCGGCAGGAGTAACTCAGTAACTCCTGCCGCAGTTACTGAGCTCAGGACAATGGCACTGGCCATCCAGGGCGGCAAACCAGGATTTGCTGCTTCCTTGCTGTGTGACCTGGAGTGAGTCACTTTCCCTCTCTGAGCCTCAGCTTCTTCACCTCCACAATGGGGGCTCAACCCTTTAGAATGGCTGGCACTTCCTGAGCATGTAACTGCCAAGCATTTCGCCCTGTCTCCTGAATCCCTCACAACGTCCCCATTTTGCAGATGATGCCACTGAGTGTTGGGGCAGCCACGTGGCCTGTCCTAGGCTCCCAGCCAGTGGGTGGAGGGGCAGGCTGCAGGCCAGGCGACCAACTCCAGGGCCTGGGTTCATAAGCCTTTCCAAGGGTTCCTGGGAGCAAGGAGATGAGGGGTGCCACGGCAGTCAAGGGAGATGACCTTAGGGGCAAAGCTGAGGAAGCTCTTCTCATTTTCATAATCATGAAGTAGTTCCATGTAAGTGGAAACTGCTTATCAGTGCTGTGATTTCAGAGTATTGTTCTGAATAGGAGCAAGGAAAACCTTATACAGGTTCAAAACATAAACACAGGATTAAAGAAAATGTTAAGGAGACTGTTACACAGATAACACTCAGAACAAATGTCAGGATGGTGACCTGGATTTGCTGCAGTTTGGTAAACACCAGTTTCCATTCCCTCAGTAGGAGTATGAGAAACTAGGATGTGGCAGCAGTCATCAGTGAGAATTCCCTGTGTGAGTCTCTTCCCCAAATTCCCACTGCAGCTCCTTGGCTGTGCTGCCCCCTCCTGGTAGCCTCTCACATTCCCCACCTCATCCAGCATTCTTTCAGGTTCCCACTGCCTTTTCCCTCCTGGATTCTAGTCCACCCTGTGGCCTCTGCGAAGATCAACTGTCCCGGCAGCAAGAGGGTGTTTCAGAGCAGGACATCGGTCTTGCTGTGCAACCCTGGGTGCCAGCTTTCCCTCCCTGGGCCAATGGGCTACCCTGGCAGCACTGTCAGTGCTCCTTGCACTCACCTTTTTCTCATCTGTGGGAATGATCTCTGACTTGTGCATGCCCATGCACTCCATGACTTCATGGAACTCATTCAGCTGCTCCTCGCTCAATTGGGGCTTGTCAGCTGCAGGAAGGAGCAAGGGGCTGGCTGAGGGTGCTGGGATCCTTGAGGAAGGCCAGGAAGGGTAGGTGTTCTTAGGGCCAACCCCAGGAAGAGGTGGTTGTGGGCCAAGGCCAGTGTGGGATGGGAGCTTGAGGAATACCTACCAAAGATGGACAGGGCCATTTTCTGCTTATCTTGTGGATGAGCAGAAAACATGAAGCTCCTGGAGTTCTTGCTGAGCAGCAGGTAGGCAAAAGATGCTGTGCCATTTTCTGGAGGAGAAAGTGTCTGGTGAGATCAGGGCCAGCGGTCATAGTGAATCATGTATCAGAGGCGAGGACACCTTGGGGTGCCCAGGGTGGCACAGACCCCATTGTTGAAGGCTCTGGCCACATAGCCCAGCTCCTGCTGTGTGCCAGGCCTGACCTGAGCATTTGAGTAGTATGGGGAATCATAGGAGCCTCCCGGAAACCACCTGTCAGGGCCCTCTGGCCATCTAGAGGAGGTGAGGCCCCAGCAGGGGCCTAAGGCCTGCCAGCTAAGTCAGCATTCCTGTGCTCCCACTGGGTGCCCTCTGGTGGTGATAGTGGGGCTGGGTGAAGTCACCACCCTTAGCTCCCAAAGGGGAAAGCAGTTGAGAGACAGACAGGTCTGGAGTCAGCCCTGGATTTGAATCCTAGCCCTAATTCCAAGTGTGTGGTGCAGGGGAAACCACTTGAGGTCTGTATCTCCAATTCCTCGTCGGATCACTGTAATGTTCTCCTAGGGCTGCAGGTGAGAATTCAGTGGGTTCATTGCTGTGAAGAATTTCCAACAGTGCCTGGCACACAGCAAGAGTTCAAAATGTGCAGTTATTACTGACAGGTGTGTGCAGCATGGGCGTCTGTCCTGTGTTCTCTGTGCCCAAAGCCTTCAGGACCTTGTTGTCGGGGCCCCTTCTTAGACTGGTCCACCCTCCCTCCAAACCACCCCTATCCTCGCCCTGACCCTTACCTTCTCTGACCACGGTCCCATTCTTCCGCTGGACCATCAAGTGGCTACTGTTGTAAATGCAGTGGTCCCCACTAGGCCAGGCAACAGGGAGAAAAGCAGTAAGACAGTCAGGGAGAAGTGGACCATTGCACATCAGACATTGGGGCAAGAGTCAGGTGGCCATTACAGTCATCCCTCCCCCTGCAGGAAAAGGGAGGAACGTTCAAGTCAGCAACTGGGACTGGAAGAGGGGCTGTGGGAATCTTACATGGTCTGGTACTCTCTGGTGTATATCTTGTCCTCCATCTGGTTGGGGGCAAAGTAGAAGAAGGCCGAGCGGACCATTTTAGCTGACTGATTGACCTCAGGCTTGCGGAATATCGCGGCAACATAGAACCACTTGCCAGAGAGCTGGGGAGAAGCCAGGGGTGATGGAGGCTGGACCTGAGTCCTGGATGCTCAGCTGCGGCGAGTCTTAGGCTGATGTCCCTCCATTTTGCAAACAGGAAGACAGGGCTCCAGGTGGGGAATGGATATCCAAGAACCTGCTCCATGCAACACCACCCACCCAGCCCGGGTGGCCCCTCTGTGCTTAGCTCAGTGTTCCCTAAGAAATTGCAATGGGGCCACTGATTTTGGGGGTCATGAATTGCCTCTAACTTCTACCTGTGGATCAGAACTGCACCCCAGGACCCAGGAGAGGGCACAGACCATCAGCAAATGGTGCGCAGGCACTCACCCAGTCCAAAGTGACATTGGTGATGGGCTTCGCCGTGAAGTTGGCACATTCTGGGCTCTGGGCACTCAGCAGAGGAAGGAGGCTCAGGACAGTGAGGGCCCAGGGCAGCACCATGCTGATATGAGAGGCACCTGCAGCTAGGCAGCACTGGCGGCTGGAGGGTGCAGGGACTTTTGTAGGGAGCTGTGGGCGGGATCTCAGGACCTTGTTGGACACAATCCAGTTTGGAAAATACCTTGTACAAAACCTTTTCTCCATCCTCCAAAGTCTCCCAGTCCAAGTGTAATTTGGGTCCCTGACCTGGAGGGGTGTCTAGGGCACAAAGGTCTGTCTATTCAGAGCCAAGGTGGGCGTGGACTGGAGGGTATCAATTAACATGTCTGGATTTCAATCCAGGAACTGCAAAGCAATTGCACAGGTTTTCATCCACTTCCTTTTCCAAAGTACCCACACCTGAGCAGATAGAGCCACCAATCAAAAGTTGAAGTCACCTTAGTTCCCAGGCTAGTGTGGTATCCATGTGGGGTGTGGGGTAGGGGAGAGTTTGGAGGGTGAGGGCAAATATGGAGTCTACTCCAACTTAGTGTGCAACCATGGAAGAGCCAAAGTTCAGGGGGTCTCAGCTACCCTGCAGGCAGGGACATTTCCGAAAGAGGAGAGCATCTCAGGTGACATCTATGTCTAGTAAGTGTATCACTGGAACCATCTCCCTACATCTAAACAGGACGTTAAAACCTTGCATCTCCACCCCCAGCATGCAAGTAGGGAGCTTGTCTCTCTTCTTCCCAATGTGTTCCCAATGTTGAAACAGTGCCCAGCACATAGTGGGCATTCAGTAATTACTTTGGAATCAATAATTCCACTGCCCATTTGCATTTCTACACCACAGGGGGAAGGTCAAATCTTTATGCATCCAAATAAATATTTTCAGAACATATTCATGGCATGCTGACCATTTTGTATTCTTATTTATTGCATGTTTTGAATAATTTCTCATGGTTCAGCCTAGTTGGTAGCTGTCATTTAATGGATTTATAAACCTTATCACATCCCAAATATTCTAACCTACTTAATTCTATCCTCTCTTTATAGCTTTTTATTTTACTTTTCCAGCTTTATGAGCTACAGTTGTCTGTAGCGTTTTATACTGATACCCCACTTGAAGTCTCATGTCAGAGAGTATGACATGCCTTTAAAATTGCCAATCCATTTAAGAGAAGAAGAGTATGCCTTTCATAAGACTTGAGCATTTTTCAAAATAGGAACCTAGAAACCATTCAAATATCCACGAATAGGAAAAAGGAAAGTATGTGGTGGCTTTTCATTCGATGGAATATTACTCAGCAATGAAAAGGAATGAATCAATGAGATGCAGGTAACATGAATAAATCAAAAACATGCTGAGCAAAAGTCAGTCTGCACAGAGCACATACTATATGATTCCATTTACATGAAGCTATAGAATAGTCCCAATTCATCTATAAAGATAATCATGTCAGAGGTTGCCTGGGGTGAGGAGAGCAAATTTGACTGCAAAAGGCTCAAAGGAACTTTCTGAAGTGGATGGCATTGTTCTATATTTTCATTATGATGGCATTTACACCTGCATGTCTATTTGTGAAGATTCGATGAACTGTAAAGTTCAAATGTGTACATTTTATTTTATACCTCAACGAAGTTGATTTAAAAAGTCTCCAAATCAGAAAAAAAAACTTGCCCAAATAAATCAATAAATAATGTTTTCTGATGTTGCACAAATTTGCAGGTGTTCAAATAAGTCTTTCTCCACATTCTTATCAACACTGGAATGTCTTTTTTTTTTTTTTCATTATTTTTGCAAGCTCCGTTACTTTTTTGAATATGCATTACTCTAACTTGATTCTTGAAGAAACAATTAGAGTCTTTTGAGAGGAAAGATTGCAAATGAGCAAGAGGTGCAGGAAGGACTGGGAATGTCTGTAGCTGGAGTGTGTGATGGTGTCAGGGATGACCCACACTGATGTCGGAGAGATTGGAGTATTCAAGCCTGCAAAGCGTCTGTGCCAGGCTGAAGAGTTGGCAGTGAACTCTGGGTGTTCAAGGAGAAATAGGTAAGTTTTAAGTAGGGTAGAAGGGGAAGCATCTGCTTGGCTCCATGTCTGCAGTGAGGATAAGAGAAGGTAGAAATAGAAACGTGGATCTGAGAGGCAGTTGGAAGCCCTTGCCATGGTCCTGGTGAGGCCTGGTGGGGGTGGGGGCAGATCCAAGGTGCTGTGTATTCAAGGAAGGCAGAGGGTTGTTTGGGGACAGCGCCACACTTGGTCAAATGCGGCTCGCACTCAGAGCCCAGAGCTTGAGAAGGTCCACCTCCCTTCACCCCAACAACACACACACCCACACACAGTTTATTAAATAACATGTGAGCACTTCTGCCACTTGGGATCTGGTGCTAAGTGACCCAAAACCTTAAACATGCTTTCTCACCGCCAACACCATTCAGACCCCTGGAGAACCATGTGTCACATCGTCCACTTTACCCCTGAAAAAACAAACCACTGTATCAAGTGTCCTGGGGCTCTGTGGGTTCCCTACCGCTGATACAGGAGGTGGACACTGTTTTAGAGATCGGGGAGGATTTGGGGAGATTTAGAGGTAAGAGGAAAGACATGTTAATATTCTCACGCTTCTCTTAACAGAGACAACAAACTCTTGCGATATTAACCCTTGTTTCACAATCATGCCAAAAGTCCACTTTCTTACAACATAGGATTGGGGAGGGCCTCCCCAGTTAGACATAGGCAGTGTTTACAAGCGTTACACATGATGGCTGAGGAACATTTGGCCACATTAAATCTTGGGAAGCACTCAAATGTGTTGGGAGGTAGATGGAAGACAGAAAAATGACTTGACGTTGGCAGCTAAGCTAGAGCTTTACTGCTCACATTGGGAAGAGTTTCCCGTTTATGAAATATTTGAACAAGCCTGAATTCATTAAATAAATCTTCAGAACTAAAAATGTTCAAGTCGGCTTTATTTAAGTGCTTTTGATGGCCACCCCCTGGGTATTGAGCCCTGGTCTGTGGGCCTCCATTTGCTTGTGGGCAGAGATGCTAGGGGGAGGTGAGTGGGCCAAGGGCCGACCCAGAGCAGGACTCAACTTCTTTTGTCCAGAGCCTCTAGCTCTGGCCTAACCTGCAGGCCTCCAGAAGTGACCCCTCAAGCTGCGGAGTGTGATGGGAAATATAGCTTTGATCTCTAGTATTGTTTGCAACACACAGCTACTAAAATCCTAGGGATCTTTACAACTATTGTGTCTTTTTGTGTAATAATGAGGTTATTGCTGGGCATGGACGGGGCCCAGTGCTTTGGGGCAGCCTCAGATTGGGAACTGGTTACCAGGGGAACCCACCCTGTGATTACAGGGTTGCAACTTTCAGTCTCACCTCCAACCTCTGGGGAGGGGAGAGGGATGGGAGGTTGATTCAATCATCGACAGCCAATGGTTTAACCAACCAGGCCTACGTAATGACGCCTCCATAAAAATCCTAATTTCCAGGGTCCAGGTTGGGGACCATGTAGATGTGAGTGGGGAGGGACACACCTGGACAGGTTCTGGGGCCTCCACAGACCTTCCTACATACCCTGCCTTATGCCCCTCCTCTACTTGACTGTTCCTGGCCTGAATTGTTTTATAATAAACTGTTGATCTTGTATGAAAACAGCTTTCCTGAGTTCTTTCAGTTGTGCTAACAAATGACAAAGCCTGAAGGATTGGGCACCTCTGATTTATAGCAGGTCACAGAAGCACAAGTGACAAGCTGGACTTCATACTGGTCTCCAAACTTGGGGTGATCTTGTGGTATTGTGCCTTCCCTTTGCAGGATCTGGTCCTTTCTCCAGTTACTGTCAGAACAGAATTGAATTGCAGGACACCAGGTGTTCTCTGCAGTGACAGAATTATTTGGTGCAGGAAAAAACCTCTTTCGGTGGCCAGAGAATTGGGAGTAGAGAGAACAAGAACAGAAGGCTGCACTTGCAGGGCCTCCCCTGGTGGCGCAGCGGTTGAGTGCGCTGGGCTGCGAGGCTGCCCGCAGCCTCTACAGAGCCAGTTCAATCCCTGAATCCCTGGCCACTGGCGAGGGTCCCACCAAAAAAAAAAAAAAAAAAAAAAAGGCAGCTGCACTTGCAGTGATAAGCGCAGAGCCTCTTCGCAGAGGCAGTCCTCCTGACACTGACCACAACGGGGCAGGGGCGTGACCTGGTTGGTGCTTCCTCACCCCACAGCTGAATGCCAGTGTATAACTGCAGATACAAGCCCAAAGTAGACACAGTGTGAAACAACAACAGGATTTATTTACACAGTGAGAAAAAGGGAGGGAGAGAGGGAGAGAATTCACAGGCTGGCATGTGGCCAGATGCTGAGTGTCAGACCCCAATAAGAAAGACTTATTTGAACACCTGCAAATTTGTGCAACATCGTAATCATTATTTATTGATTTTTTTGTCAAGGTTTTTTTTTTTTTCTGATTTGGAGTTTTTTTTTTAAATCAACTTCATTGACGTTAAAATAAAATGTACACATTTGAACTTTACAGTTCGTTGAATCTTCACAAATGGACATAATGCTCTCTGCTCTCTGCTGAGCAGAGACCAAGGTCCAAGCCATCAGTGGCAAGCTGGCAGCTTCTCTCAGACACCCCTCTTCCCCGGTGGTTCAACTGCCCAAGCCCCAGCAGTTTAACAGTCAAAAGCCTTAGGTCTGCCCTTTTCCCCATCAGCCTGCCCTTGCGGGTGGAGTTTTAAAATCTCCACCTTCTACTCTAGAGTTGACTTGAGGGGTGTGGAGTCTAGAAAGCCACCCTTTGTATCAACAAAGTGGCTATGAGCGCCATCCACTGGCTGAGGTTGTCCTCACTGTTCCTCCAAAGTCCTCATTCTCACTGTCCTTCTGGCTGCCTCTGGGGTCTTACTCTCCCTGCAAAGAGGTAATACAAGTTGTGCCTCCAAGCGTGTTCAGCACTACCCTGACAATTATCTTCTATTTTCTTACATTTCAGGGATGTTTTCCTAATTCTGTGGATTGAGATTCTGGGTAGCCACTCACCCCCAGCCCAAATCTCCACTAACCCTGACAA